TATATATATCAAACACCCTCCTCGATTTTCGAAACTCTTCATATCATGAGAAAGCCGGATCCAATCACTAAATTGTTTTATAGTCATTCTAAACATGCTAAATATATCAAAGCAAAACTATGCTTACCTCGATCTTTTTAATGTTCACATTCATAACATCATAACATCTGCCTATCCCCTGGTACGTTTTCAGTTCATGAAGGGAGTGGGGTTTATTTGTTATTCATCCGTTGGGTCAGGACATTTTTGCTATTCTTGCTATGTTTCAGAATACAGTGTTGTTAGGTAGTAATTCGGCTATTTCTTCTTAGCTTTGCATGACTAGTGAAATCGTTTCCAGCTCTGCCAAAATAACTGCATGTATCGCCTCGTACTATTTTTAGACAGTTTGAAAAATAAAATTTAAAAACGTTTTACCCAACTATAGTAGCTTATGGTTTAAAATTTTCGTCATCGAAATGAGGCAAAGTCTTAGTTTTAGGTTCAGTGCACTTCAGAACGCTCAGAGAAAGAAGAACTGTGTCTGGGTTTTATTTATGAATGTAAAGCCTGGTTAGTTTTCAATTATACAGCTTGGAAAACTTGACTAGGTAAGAAAGCTACCAAGTTTTCCTATAGACACCACCTAGAAAAAAACTGTCAAGGAAATAACTTGCTTGATGACTGAAAACTTATGATCGTGAATACTTCGTGACAAAAGGAAAATGAATACTCGTGTCCCGCTCGTCCCGCAGAAAGACACGAGACCCGAGAAAAAGGGAGCTGTGGTCGGGGTGGAGGAAGAGAGCACAACTTTGCCGGGACTCAAACCAATACAACACAATACGATAATTTTTATTAACTCTCCTAAAAAGCTATTCTGAAGTTAATTTACAAATGCGCAAAAGAAGGGGATAAGAAGAAAAGGCTTAAATTGATTACAATCTTGGTACAAAACTAAAAGCCTAAACTCTGCGCGTACAATTTACGTTATCTGTTTGGAGGTCTAAACTAAATCAAATATTAACTATTTAACGCATGGGGTCTGCACCCGCAATTCGCGTTTGATGCTCCTCTTTAATATAGGTTCATAGTGACGGGCTATTTTTAGTGTCTGCGGTCAGAGAGACCGCAAAATGACCGTTGCGCTGTAATTGTTCTGCATAGAGGGAGATTTAGATTGTCCCTTTTCCTCGTGTTGAAGTGTCGTGTATCTGATCGCTTACTGAGTTTACTACTCAGGTACAACGGGCGGAGGCCATTAAGTTAAAACATATGAACCCATCATAGTGCCTGATTATCGACTAGAAACTACCTCCCGGTGGGATTAAGGGCTTCTTGTCCGCTCTACACTAGTTTGAAAAACCATAGACAATTATGCGCCCCGGCGAAGTTTAGCACTAATTGCAACTTCTGTAGATTTTGCTTTGAGGTGCCTGCCCAGACAGTGGAACAGAAAAAACGTTTACTAAAAATAAGAGAATTCAAAAGCATCATCTTCCACAAGCCACGAAAACCCGTAAAGCATGACTGGGGTTATTGTATTCCATGTTGCTGCCGAAAAACGCCGTTTGAAACTAGTCGAGCCGGTTTGTAATCGAATACTAAACTTAATGGTCTGGAACGTCATGACTCTGTAGGCTGTAGCCACCAGAACTTCAAAATTAAGAGATAAACCGCGAAGGAGTAATCTCTCTGAAAGAAACTGCTCTGAAGAGAAAAAGTTCTGGAAAAGTTTAATGAATCAAGAGTTTAGGCGCAAAACACAAAAGAATTCTTACTATCAAACGAGGTCAGAAAGGCTAATTGTCATACATATAGAAGAATGCCTAAAATTGAAGGCAGGGCTGATCGGACAGCAAAACGTTACAAAATTATTTGCCCAATATTTCGACTTGACAAAACTAGTCTTCATCAGGGGCTAGTCGAAATAGCGGGCAAATAAATGTGTAACCTTTAGCTATAGCTGTCCGATCAGCATTGCCTTCAATTTTAAGTGTTATTTTGTATTACTGATCTACGACCATATCCGGCTTTCCCTCGCTGCTGTTTGTCCAAGTGGTCCTTGCAAGAATTGTTCACATAACATATATAGAAGAATATAATATTAGGCCGCCAGTATGAGAGAGGTCTATATCTTATTGGCAAAACACCTTTCAACATTCTCAAAAACTAGAACTTTATAGATCATTTTTATAAATCGATCATACCACTTCTAATTACCTAGACAACAAGAGGAACAGCTGAGAGAAGAGCATCAGTAAACTTTCGAATATAAGCAATCACAAACTAATGATAGAACTACAGTCTCAGATAAAAATAGTTGGGACACTTAGACCAAACGCTGTTTTTTTTCCTTCTCGTGCTCCCCTTGTCCCTCTCAAAGTTGTTTATCGCTGTTCAGTCACCAAACCTTGTACATCAACATTGAGGGGACAAGGAGAGCCACAGAGCCCAAAGAATGGGCACCCAACGTCAATTTCCGGAAAATATCTGTTCGGAAGACGATTTGAGATCTAGAACTTTCGGAACATTTTTTGTAAAATTTCTTGCTTGACTGCCTCTCCTAGGATTTTCGAACATCTAAAAAATGGTGTGATTGCCCATTTTTGGCGGAATTTTACCCTAAAAAGGTCACCTAGAATTTTCGGGAGCCTTATTTCTGCCTGAAATTTTTAAATTTTGATCCCTATAATTTTCGGATCACTAGACTTTCAGCTAGGAAATCTGAACAGATGAAAAATTTTTAGGGGATAAAAATATGCCTATATCTACCGTTAAATACTAAAATACGTTTAAAAATGCTATTTTTTAGTGGTTTTTAACTATATTCTCGTTGGGTGCCCCTGCCAAAGTGTTCCAACAATTTTGACTGAGACTGTAGGTCGACACAATCAAACTACCAGAGATGATAGACGCTGCCCTCTTTGAGGATCCAGTCTAAATAAGACCAAGTTCACTTTCCTTTTTGTTGTCCTACATACTCGTTGACTAGGAAGAATTTTTATAAAGATGGCTGTGATTTCAAATATTAGCCAGTTACCTGTCTGCGTTTTGATCAGTGAACTGATGAACATCATGAACTCATCTAATTACAATACTTACCAATATACAATTCATGAAATATATTCCGGCTTGCCTTTATCTTCCTTACAAAATATTACCAAAGTAACTTAATTGTGATATGATGAAATTTTAATTCTTCTTCTCAAAATAGCTTTTGCAATACTGTATGTATGGTCATGCAAAGAAGCTTATTGTTCTTGGTGTTGCGTCGGTGGGGGAGAGAAATGCACAGATTTGGTTTTATACAGCTGAGGGGGAATGAACTTCTTAATCCTCTTAGGTCATCAGTTAATACAGCGAAATTTTCCCAAAATTTAACCCGTTTGTTGAAGGATTTTGCGTTCAACTGAAAATGATATCCACAGTTCCCATTTCAAGATTCATTGGCCAATATTAACCTAGACTGCAAAACAGTCCGCATTTTTGCGTATTCAAGTACGCGGGAGCAGTCAAACAAAAGGTCTGCAACGAGGCTGAAAACGTGTGAGGCTCGCGCGCTTCGCACGCATAAGACTCTTACGCCACGCTTTACCGATTTCTTTACTGATTTTGAGAAAAAAACCGACTGTTTTGTTGTCTAATATTAACCAACATTTGAAGCCCTGTGTCTTAGATTTATGTGATTTATTTTTCACCAGTGATATTGAAAAACTGCTGTGCTTTATACCTCATGAAACGTCTCGAATATGCATACCCCATTCTGCATCCTAGATCAGAAACTTCCAATCAATACTCATTTGGGCGCTGGCAAGGATACGCCCGCGCGACACGTAACAAAAGAAGAACAGCATGACCGAAAGTGGTGACCGTTTCAAATCATGTCAAATAACAATTAAACGCCCTGTGTGTCGTAATTCTGGCTTTTTCGAGTCTGTTGTCCAGGAATTTTCACTTATTTTCTGCCTAAGGCTTGTTCCTTGATACAAATCACACCTAAAGTTCCGAGTTATATGCTTGAGAGGCTTATTTAAAATTTCTTCCTTATAAATTCTTTTTATTTGGGGCCTGGCAGTCAAACCTAGAAAATACGGTATAGTTAGTTTGTATTGCATACCTAACGTAGTAAGATTGGCAATTGGTCGTTATCATAGGAGTTTCAAGGAGGACCCTCTTCCCTGGGAACAACTGTTCACTAAAGCTCCTCTCTAAAATGAGTGTGCATACTTTCCACTCTTTTAGCTTGCAATGGGCAAGTTTAAACTGAAGTAGCTGACGCAACGCAGGTTAAGTTAAAAAAATTCGGGTAATTTGGTTGGAGCATAGTACTCATAGTTATGCACGCATGAATGGGGTCATATATCCGCCGTGACTTACTCGGGTATTTCGAAATATCTGCTGTCTCTGTTGCAAGGACCCTGAGACGGAACTGCACAATTCCTACTCAAATAACAAATTTCCTTCTCAACATATATTCTTAAGATTAGTTTCTCCTCTGTTGATAAGAAAATATTTACAATATTTAAATTATAACCGAAAACTACGATCATTCTACATGATTCTAGGGCAAAAATTATGAAACCCCCTGCTGCAATTACTCAAGTGAGGTTTTTTCCCTGCGAACGCGGTCATTAATTAATAAAATTGTTCCACTAGCAGGAAACAAGAATTAGATTAGCCTTATTTCGGAAAGAATAAACTTTGAACGTTTTATTTATTATCACCAAGGAACCAAACTTTTCATGGATCATTAAAGTATTTTAAAGGCTTTCGATATGTATGTGACTTTTGGTCGTTACGTTCAACCGTTTGCGTCATTAGCTGTCATTATGACGTAGTATTATTCGAGGGTGTTCGCATGTATTTCTGCATCTCTAAATTTGGATGCGTTACACAACACACTGACAACAAGCCAGGGGATTTCGGATCTTGTTTATATAATAACCGTTTACTTTTATTTTGCCCGTCAAGTCTTTTACCACGGAAAGTTGAATTCGAGTGGAATTTGCTACTGGAAAATGACCAGTCTGCTAACGAACGAAACGTATCGATGTGAGCAATGCCAGGAGCTACAACGTTCTTTAGTAAAAACTTTGGGAGAGAAGAGGGCATTGCTTTTACGATTACAAAAAGAACAAGCGAGAATAAGAAAGCTTTTAAGGGAAGCAGAAAAAGGAAGGAAAAGAGATGGCGAGGTATGAAGATAACCAAGAATTATAGAAGGATACAGATTTCTGAGATGCTCCATTTTACTCGGCGTGTGCATTCCCTGTACGAAGCTTGTTGCGTAAATCAGTGAGGCACACAGCACAGCTATGTTTTCTTTCATATGTAAGGGAGACATAGGGCAGACTGTTCAGTCGCTTTCGATAATATTTATATTTGTAACTGGTGTCATCGGCTTTACTTACTTCGGTAAAAAGACAGAAATCTGCGATTGTTTAGAACATGTAATAGACCGGACCAGGTCACTCCTTGCAAACTAATGTTAATTTAAGCCAAGCTTTAATTGTCACACCTTACTTTGTAATTTCTAAAGGTGGTATTTTGGAAAGGAAACACGACTTTTTTGGCGTGTTCCTTCGAAAAGGCGAAACGAAACTTTTCCTTTAGCGCTCGATATTTCAAGGTTTCACGTGAAAATGGCAGTCATGTGCAAGGATTAGATTATTCGGGCGGTACCAGGGTGTAACGGGGGTTTGTTCGTGGGGAAAAAAGCGAACAAACAAAACAAATCGCCGTTTTAGGTGTGACACGAATCTCGGAGACTAAGTGCTAAAATTAAATGCGGATATACTCACACCCTTACAGCAAAAAACCCGTCAGTACAGATACTAAATCACGTGCAGTATTATCAGAAAGGTACATGAGTTTCTGGAATTATCTTGTATATTCCCATAATTGGGTAGTTTGACTCAAAGGAACTGATTAGTGCATTGATTACTTCAAGAATCTTATAACAGACAAACCTGTCCAAAGTGAGCGTAATGTTCAGATGCTTTTTCAAAATGTCTCAGTTACTTCAGGTGCAAATCTTTTTCATGATAATATTTTTTATATTTTGTCACATTGACATGCATGACTTTCACTTGTCATATAATTTGAACCCAATCTGTACCATCTGCTACACAAACATGGCAGGGCAAGCTATGAGATAAGGGAAACCAGCTATTTCGATACAAAGTCATTTTGATACAAGTCGTTTTGTTACGAACTGCACAAAAAATTTTATTCACGTCAAGTGTGGTTTACCCGTGAGCAAGCTAAAAAACAATTTGGGTGACTATTCTTTGTTCTTTAAGCCAAGTGTGTGCAACTATTTATGCCTTGACTGAATAAACTTGTATTGAAATGACCGGTAACTGATATTCAGTACGCAGTAGGTCCTTCCAAATGGTGCAGTTTTTTTCTACCATATTATTAAATATTTAGCATTTTTTCTTTCATATTAGGAGGTGCCTAATTTAAGGGATGTTTCAAGACCACCGAGGGAAAGCAACGGTGATAATTCTTTAGAGTGGCAGCTGAACGAGGTGAGAGAGGAATATTATGATTGCTAAAATACACACTGTAAGCAGTATGTTTTTCACTGGAGACCTATAACTAGCTGTTCTTAGTTCTCAAATTAAGCCTTTGACCCTCAGCATGATCAGCAGCTAACTTCTCTTTAAGAATCAATGCTTTCAGTTAGACAATTAATATTAATATTAATATTCACATGACACTAATAACAGGAAATCAGATTTAGCTATAGTTCTACTGTAGAACCCAGGTAAATCAAACTCTGAAAGGATACACGAAGCAGTTTGAGTTAGCAGGGAGTTCAAGTTATCAGGGGAAATTTAAGTGAAAATTTTCGTCAAGGGAAAGGAAATTTAGTTCAAGTTAGCAGGGAATTTGAATTATCTGAGTTCGAGTTTTTGAGGTTCTACTGTAAAAAAGTTTTATTCTGGGTATTATATGCAAATTATCTTGACAATGTTGTAATTATGAACTCCATTTCTTTTGAAATCCTTCTAAGAACTAGCTTGTGAAATAACCATCCATATAATTATTATCTATTTATATTTTTTTAAAGGTCATTGAAGTTAACAGAAAATGGAAAGAAGACTATGATAATTTAAAGCGGCAATATGAGATGAAAAATGAAAGCCTTCAGAATGAGCTGGAAGTGACTAAAGAAAAACTTTCAAACGCACAAACGCAAGTCCTTGCACTTGGAGCTGAAGTTGATAGGCTTGCGACCACCCTAAGTCTTTTGTATCAAGGAGAAGGCAGTTCTGCCCCTTCAGATTTTGATGTGGATGATTATGAAATATTCAAACAACAGGTATGCAGTGAATTATAGACATTCTCCAGATCATCTATAAAGGGTGCACTTTTATCTTTTTTCTCATGATACATGTAGTCACTTAGTTGTTGATTGTGATGCTTTGACAATGTACTGTCACTGGTGATTGTGTCAATTTGCTGAGTGGGACTATTAGTGACTAGTATGGTTTTCGTTTGAGTGTCGTAAAACCAAAACCAAAGTAATTACTCTGGCCAATCACATAGGACACAGACAATACATTGAACCAATCAAAACTCGAAGTAATTACATGTGGCTGACGCAAAGCGCGGGAAAATGCATGCGAGCGCGTCACAATTGGCTTTGGTTTTACTTCTGATTGGATGAAAAGGTGGCGCGAATCTTTTAAGCCAATCGCATCGTGTAGAAAGTGCAAAACCAATTACTTTTCGACACTCAAATGAAAACCGCACTATCATGTAAGACAAACGATAAAAACAAACCCTTTAGACGCATACCCACTGGACCGCGATGAGTAATATCTTTCATGACAAGGATAATTATTTGTAGATCCCAGGTGTCATGGAAAATGTGAATTATCATTTTCTAACTTAATAGAACAATCGATAATACATGTATGTAATGCCTTTTTAATATCACTGGGGTTTCAAACACATTGTATGACCTTTTGATGGTGTTTTTCTGATGTCACTGTGTTAAAAAACTAAGTCACTTACTTGTATACAGTGTATACTGTGTATTTCATATTTAGGGCAATTTTCGCATGACCTTGAAATGAAAACGCACGAACAAAATAGAAACAACAAACTAACGGAAATAGAGCGATTTGATTGGTTTCTCAAACGGGTATAAACGCGCTCGGCTTTTGGTTGGTTAAATGAACGCTCAGGTGAAATTAAACTTCATGCCCGAGAACTTTCTAGAAATCAATCGATACTTCCCTTTGACGTCATACTGTAACACGATTGGCCAATCCAACAATGCCTTCTTCATATTAGGGCTTTCTTTGGCGGGAAAACGAAGAGGCCATGTTTTGATCTTTTCATCCATTGGCTGATAAAGCAAATAACGAACACTTACCGAAACCATTTTTCAAGGTCATACGAAAATCGCTCTAACTATAAGTAAAAATCATTTCATTGCAGATTCAATTGTATAAGGAAGATTTTTCAATTGAGAGAAGGGACCGGGAACGGGCACAGGCTGAAAAAGATTATCTTCAACAGCAGTTGAAAGATGCACAAGAAATCATTGCCACACTTACCCAAGAGGTTAATAAATTATTCTTCTTAATAAAAAATTTACTTCTAGTTTTTATTTTGTTTAAATACAGTGGAACCCCATTAATCTGGTTACCAATGGGCCAAAAAAATTAGACCATAATATTGAGGTGACCATATTAACAAGGATTTCTTTACGAGAAAATGTATTGTCGTTTTTGTGGGGGGCCAAAAAAAAAGTGGCCGTGGTGGCTTTAAGGCGGGATTCCACTGTATATACTTACATGAATGGAACTACAGTAACAATAAAAGACCACAGTACATTTTTGTACCTGATTTTTGGATGTTTGTAGAAGATAATTTTAAAATAAGTGAGATTCGCTAATGAAGAGTGTTTTAATATTATTACCATTAAAGGTTGACATTTACAAGGGACAGATGTGTCAAGAAAGGTCAAGACAGCTACGGCGTCACTCTGATCCACGCCCTCTGCACACATCATGTCCCCAACTACAAATCATCTACCCAGTTAGTGTGCCACCATCAGCAGCACAGCGGAGATTGAGACAGGAACAACAAAGAAGAGTAAGTTTTGACATTAATTACCCCCTTCACTGCTGTGAATTCATGAATAGGTGAATTTAGGAAAATTCATTCACAATTATTATATTCATTCACAATTAAATTCTTTCAAAATCAAACTTCAACTATTGTTCACCTCACCAAGAAGAAAGATGGCTTCTTGTTTATGCTTTAAAGGGTTTGATTGTCTTTATATTTGTAAGTCTTTTTGCATCAATAAATCTTGACATTTTAACAAATTCTACTTCTTTAGGGTATCCTTGCTCGAGGAGCAAACCATTACACTGCACCACCGAGTCTGCTTTATGGAGGAGATGTGGAGGTAGATGATAAAATGACTTGAATTGCCTTTTATCATCCCCGTTATTGCTTGTTGATACATCCTGGAACATTAGGATTTTTCTTAAGGTTTAGAGAATTAAGTTATTATAAAAAACATATGTAAATGAGAGATAAATGCATGATATTTCAATGCAAGCATGTCACTTTTGTAACAAGATTGGTATAAGCAATAGTGTAAAGAAAAAGGACATTTTACCACTCTCAGAGCACTTAGACTTCATAATGGCAACATGCTGTCATTAAAACATCATGTTTTTATAGCCCATTTTTATTCTAAAGTACTTGACAATCTTTTGTTAATATTAAAAGTGTAAAGTATAACTATGTCATTGACATAGACATTGGGCTTCTATGAAGACCAGCCTTTAATGCCGTTGAGTAAAGCTTTACTGTACTACAGGGGAGCAAGGGTGGGGCAATGGTGAGAGCACTCGCCTCCCACCATTGTGGCTCGGGTTCAAATCCTGGCATCGATGCCATATGTGAGTTTAGTTCGTTGTTGGTTCTCTCCTATGCTCCGTGAGGTTTTTCTCTGGGTACTCCAGTCTTCCCCTCTCCTTAAAAACCAACACTTTGAAATTCCAATTCGATCTGGAATGCATGGACATGCTTACTCCTAAGGGCTTCGTGAGTAAACAAATTACAAAAATTACAATAGTAAGCAAATTCAGCTACCATGACATAATGAACCTTCATGATGCCAATAAACATAAAAAATATTGACACAATCGTAGGTGCCAAAATTATACCCATTAGTCAGTAGAAGGCAGTAAAAGTAACTCTACATGTAATTCAATGGATTTTGGAAATTCTTTTCAATTTTTGGCTTTCGGGAGTGAAAGAGTAAAGCCTCAAGGAGTTATGCAGGGTGAGAGTAGTCTAATAGCAGCAGTAGAATTTCTTTCAAATCATGGTACCTTTACATACAGTGTAGCTTGAATATTTTCCAAGAGACATGGCAGCATTATAGATGAGAATCATTCATATTTAGCAAACATTCACTCATGTGCTAGATGGATTAATATTTGCCTATACTAAATAATTATTCAGTATAATTGCTAAATTAGAAAGTTATTAGCAATAGGAAGTGATCAAGTGGGCCAAAGAAGGTTAAAGGAGATGTGGGAATGGGGGCAGGGGGGCTATGTTCATGTATTTTTAGAACCTAGATGAAATGAAATGAAAAACTACATAGTAGGTACACTGTAAAGAAAATACGAAGTTTCCCTGTCCACTAAAACACAGGGAACAATTAGTGCTTATGTAGCATTAATAATTTGAAATATTTATTTATTGTAATTAATAGATGTGAACTCATCATCGAAAAAGGTATAATTATATTAGTTGTCAAATGTGCAAGGTTACACTTGTTATCTAAATAAGTATTAAAACCAATGTTGTTCTCGGTGTCTTCAGGCTCCTTGCTTGGGCAGCAAGGGCTTGTTTACCAGGAGACTGTAGATAAATCTTTCATTTTGACTGCGGTAATCCGGAGGTCAACAAATTCCAACAAATAATAAAAATATTATTTTATCTGATCATTTATGGATGTCACCAGTCTCTCTCCGGGTAACCAATTGCTGGCATGACGAAGGTGACTCAAACTGTTCTGTTATTATCCACAAATTCACCACTTTAGAAGCAAGAACGGAACTGCAGCTGAAATGCGCGCTTCCCACAGTTGTTTCTGGAATGGTTACTGGGGAAGCACCCATCAGCCATAGGCTAATTTTTTATCCTTGTCCTGAGTAACACTCCCAGAAGTCTTTTTGAAAGTTAACTTACTCCAGTGGCAAATGAAGAGGTGTCTGGAAAAAGCTCTCTTACAGCAAGGAGCCCAAAAGAGTTACCGCTTTTAATTATACGCACTCTTTCGTGCAGATTTAATCCAATCAGAAGCCTGTTGGAAACTGTCGAAACTGTCCTCAACTTCTGATTGGTTGATCAATGCCTTCATGAAAGAATGTGTAATTATTAAAGGAGGTCACAATTTTGGGCTCCTCGCTGTAAGTGATTTTTGGACCAACTGCTGCATTCTCCTTTTACTTAACCTACCGTAGGTTTCAAAAGAAAAGAGAAAATCCAGCATGAGATCAAAGTCACATAACTGTAAATTAACTTAATTCTCAATTTCAGGATTTATATTATGACCCAGCACAATGTTCTCTCATACATTTCCTATGATAATGTTTGGTTTGGGAGAATTTGTTGTATAAAACAAGACTCTTTTCATTCTTGATCATTTTCTTTTTTCTTTTGACCTCTATGATTGATTGAGCAGTGTAAGGGTGAGGAGAAACTGAGTGTTGGTCACTCTTTGGGGGCCTTTTCCATGCACACATTCAAATGGTTAAGAGCTGAAAGCCACTCTTGACCAATCATTAACACTATAATCTTCTTATCCATTGAAGACAAGGCTGTGATGGATTTCGAACAACAGCTTAATGGATGAACAGGCCCTGAATAGGTTATGTTAAGAGATGTTATATTATAGAAATGAAGGCTTTGTTGTCTGCAATGGACATCTATTTATTATCTGTTTTAGATATAATTTATAGAATCTCTGATGCTATGCATTAATATTATTTTTTGTTGAGATGTTCTCATTTGTATAGTAAAATTATGCACTTGATAAAGTATAATAAAAGAATCAATGATTATGGAAGTAATCTATATTTGGACAATGATGGTGGTTGATTTAAAAGTGTCCTCGCAATACATGTATGTATTTTGAACTGACTCATCTTTATAGTAGGGGCATGCAAATGGCAATAAACCTGAGTTGCAAGCACATGGCAACTACTGCACTTACAGAATGTATTATAATGTACATAACAATTAAGGAAGGTGCAGTTTGAAATTATTATGCATGGTAACTAATACCCAGAAGATTTCTATGACAGCTAATACACAGCAGTTACCAGTGCAGATATGCATGGCAACATAAATGCAATAATTATTATAGATGTGCTTGGTTTTAATGCAGTTAGAAATATGCATGGCAACTTTCAATACTGGTTGTTACCAGTTTTTGTTGCTAACTAATTGTTACAGATGTTTATGGTGACCAAAATGCAGTTCTAGTTTATGCATGATCACAAATGCAGTTACAGATATGCTTGGTAACTAAAGCAGTCACAGATTATGCTTGGTAAATGAATGCAGTTACAGATGTGTATGATAACTATTTCAGTTTGAGATACCTATTATGCATGGCAACTTCAGCTGTTGTACAGCATAGTGATAAAACACCATCATCCGTGCTAATTCTTGGTATCATTCTTTACCTTAACCAGCACTTAAAGCTAAGGTAAACATTTGTTCACAATGAGAAGGCATTCTTGGTAAAAAATACTTTTTATTACATCTAAAGAACTTGTCTTGATAAATGGATGCTCTTCATATCACTCTTTCTACACAATTATTATTTGACTTGAAGTAACATCAAAATATTTACCGTAAATTATGTAAAAACTCTTCACATGCTTTCCAAAATATCAAAAAATTATTTTTAAACCACAGTCACCAGGAGACTATGTAACTTAACCTTACCCTATCTGCTTTTGGAGTCAAACAGGGCCTAGACTGCAACTCTGCCTGTGTTCTTGATCAGGTCAAGAACACATAAGCAGTCAAATAAAAGGTCAGCATTTAGGCTTCCCATGCGAATCTTACCCTACCCTTGAGAAACTTATTTTGGGGTTTAACCGTATTGCAGTCTACACTGGACTGAGAGGGCTCATCCTTGGTGTAAGAACTTGTAAAAGTCATGAGACACATAACACAAAGGTAACAAAAAAAAAGTCAAAACAATAGAGCCTGGGCGAACAAAAGGTTTGAAACAAAGAAAACGTTCACAGGTTCTAACACCAAGGTAAACCCACTAAGAACTCAAACCTGTTAACAACCTGATTTGTTGCAAAACAGGTTGCATGTTTTTTGTTGCCCATTTTACCATGCCTTTGAAAGCAACCTGTCCTTAGACAGTTCAAAGTCCCGATTTTTCTGAATGATCCACAAGATCGAAGACTTTGCATTATGGGTAGCTATCTTAGATGAGTGTCAAATCTACTTAGGTGGTGACACCTGCCTCCTCACTACATGTGAAACCAAGATGGCCTCCCATATCAGTAAGAAAAAGGGGGCTGTGAACAGTCTAAGCTGTCCCTGACTATTACAATTCCTCACAGGTTTACATACAGCCTTAGTGACAACTGAAATTTCATGCCCAATCTCAAACATTGTCATGATCAAATTTTCAAAATGGTGCTACTTTGAAGAAAACCTCTATTGCATGCATGTGAAACTAAGAAAAACGACATTATTTGTTTGGTTTCTTCTTATTCTCATTGTTGTTTTAGTGAAGTGAATTAGACGGAGACTGCTGTTTGGGGTAGACTGTTGACCGGGGGTTGTCAGAATTTCCCATCCTGGGTTTTCCCAGCTGGGCAACATTTTACATTTTATATACACATCCAAGTCACATTTACTTTATACTCTATTATTTTTTGTTTGTTTGTTTGTTTTTCGTTAGTTTTTATTGACAGTGATGGTGGTAAAAATAGGGTTACTTAGTATTGATAAGATACAGGGCTGTAACTAAACTTTGTGTTGCCATATCCTAGCAACAACCCTAAGCCTGGCTTGAACATTACTTCAATGGAGGGGATCCAGGAGGAGATGAATACGGAGAACTGCCAGGAATTAAACCATTTACATGTGGCTCAAGATCATTCCAAATTTCACCAACCTAAGGCAGGTAAGGAGAGAGAAGACGATTTCCATCAGTTGAGAGAGAAACAAACCAAATCTGCTGTTCACTTTGTCAAAATTATGCCTACCACTCATTGATGGTCACTTAAGTGAGGTGGTTACTTGCGAGAATCGCACCAAAGCGGGTGTCTTCCACAAAGAAGTCATAACACGTCTACTTTTTGACAGAAAATTTACTGCCAGCTATTTCTAAGTTATAGTATGTTTACATGTAGTTCCATGCTGTCATGAAAGATCTTCCTATACTCGGAGTGGCGTAGTACATACAGCAAACAAAGAGACCACATCATGTGTCAACTGGTTAGTTTAAAAACAATGGAAAACTGTACAATCCATCAGTCAAAAAAGTTATTGTGATCACTTATAAGAAGTCGGTTGTTTATGAGAGGTTCTAATTTTCCATGTAGGGCTTTGAATGGGAAAAGTTTGGTGTTTTGGATAGGTGGTCTCTTATGAGAGGTGGGCACACATGGAGATTCAACTGTACTATTTCTTTATTATTAGGTTGAATCTATGAGCGGGGCATATGTGTCCAAAAATCATGCAAGGCTCTAGAAAAATGCCTTCACTGACAATTGAAAACATATTAATTTTTCAGAAAAAAGTGGAAGGTTGGCAGGACCCAAACCCACCGATCCATAGAGGTATTTATTTATAGGATGTGAAAATAACCGCAAGGTGGTACAGACCAACTCCAAGCGCTTGTTCTCGAAACTGATCTTGATATTATTCCTTACAGAATTAGAGGAGAGAATTTGTTAAAAGATCAGAGTATTTTCCCTTAAGTTGTCATTTTCTTAATTCTCCTAACCTTTTCTCTTGATTATGTATTGACAATGTTAGAAGAAAATTGATGTTGGTCAGTCACTCTTGGGACATACAGGATCACAGTCAAACCAGGAAAACCATGAACACCAGAAATATTTCTGGAATGTTATTTTGCTGCAAGAAAAAAGCCGATCAGGAGTGAGAAAACTAAACCACAAGCAAGAACATTAATTAGTTTGTGGTTTTGTCGCCAGTTCGGGTGTCTTGATCTTCGCTCACTATGACTGGTCATAACATAATAAACATTCCTGAGATATTTCAAGTGTTCACGGTTTTCCTGGTCACAGAGTAACAGAGAGATTCAAAAATAACACCTACCTCTTTGTGTCCTATGACTTGTGAGGCCACCATCTTCTGCAAGACAATCGCTAACATCTTCAAGTTTGCATGTACCAACTGTGTCTCCAACTGAAGACAGTGCAGCGAAAAATAGTTCCTGTTTTCCATATTACTTATGTCAGTTTCCTGTTCAACTATTTTTGATTCCAGCTGATCAACCTGGTCCTCCTGCCCTTTTGCCTGAGCTGCAATCTGACGTTTCTTAATTTGCTGCATTTTCTGAAGAGAGTTTTGATGGTCTTTTAACACTCCTTTTTCATGTCTTTCACAGAGCTCCTAAAAATGTCAGTCAAAAGAAAATAATATCATCACCATGTTCCATTCCAGATGTTGTTACAATAATGAGATTGCACACCAGATAATTTTTCAAGCTCTGCACTTTAACCCATTCACTCCTGGAGATTTTGCCGAAAAACGCGTTTTGAAGCTAGTCAAGTGGTTTTCTGGTCACTGTCATGCTATTAAGAGCTAAAACTTACCACAAACCCGTTTACATGTCGGGCACTTCACCACCTTCTGACCCAGATGCAAAATATCAGCTTGCGAATTTCGGGGATGCGCGAGCAGAAAGCAAAATTTCGAGTTTTTGGGTTTAAAAGTGACACAGCAGTCTTGACTTTTACTTTTTGCTTTCTCTCCTCCCCTCTTTTTTCACTTTTCTTGCCTCATTTTTTTTTCTCTTGCTGGGCATTTAGTAGGTTTCATTTTGGTGGGAAGAGTTTCCAGGAAAGCTTTTAGGATCTTAGGATTAGGTGAAAGGAAAGGTAGGTGGGCAATGGAACAAGATTTTGATGCAGATTTTCAAGTCAATCTTACATGGTTTTTTGCCTTTTTCTCCGGTGTCCTTGACTGAATTGTGCTCATTCTGGTATGGTTTGAAAGATCTCTTCACTCTGCACAAGTTAGCGGACAAAGTTGTTCTTGACCGTTAAAAGTGATGACGTCACAAGGGGTAGAAAGGACGTGGATCTGCTCAGGCGGTTACGGGCGGTTCAGGGGCAAATGGGTTAACACTTATAATACAATACAATAACCTTTATTAATTTTAATGCGGTCAATATTCTTAGCTAATTAGCTACTTTACAGACATGCCACGAAAAATAAATATTTAATGACTTTCTATAACCTTGCTGTGATATTAAGCAGTTATACGACAAATAAGATAATAATTTGTTCATATTCTCCTTCAGCAGCACATTCGAAATTAAGATAATTATTATTATATATGATAAGGCCTTTAACTGCTGTTCTTAAAAATTAAAAAATAAATGATATCTGAGCTTTCGCTGATCAACAGATCCCTGATGATGGCATTGATTGGCAAAAGCTCGGATTTCATTTTTATTTTTTATGAACTACAGTTAAGAGCCTCATTAGAACATTTTTTTTCTTTGAAACGAGAAAACAGATAAAGAACTCAGACAGAGCTTTTAAGTAATATTTCTGCCATTATGATTACCCTGTAGCTGGAGGTCAGGTCTAACAGAAGGGCTAAATATTCAACTGCACCAGTGTCTTCTCTTTTAAACTGTGGACAAAACAGAAAAAAACAGGACTTAAGAGTATATTTAGAGCTTAGTAGCCTAAGGGCTAAAAATTCCACCTATCAAAAGGAATTGTGTGACTACAATTTTTAAAAAATGAGCACTTTTTATCCTCTACTATTCTTCAAACATTTCATCTGGGATTTTATCCAGCTCACCAAACTAAGTATAAGTATAAAATAGTTCTTTATTTGACATGGGTGTAAAAGAAGTCATTATTTTGTGACAGACAAGCAAAAGACAATAATAATAATAATAATAATAATAATAATAATAATAATAATAATAATAATAATAATAATAATAATACTAATAATAATAATAATAATAAATATAATAATTATAATTATTATTATTATTATTTTTATTAGTATTAGACAACATTAGAAATGTATTTAGTTCACAGCTTGAGAGTGTTTCGCTTTTCACTAACATCATGCTCGCAACCGTGATTAAACTTGAAAGTGTCCTGCAGTGTGTTAAACATGAATGAATGATATTTTGCAAAAGGTTACAGAGGTCCACCATTACAATGTAGGTGGTAATGTCCTGCGAATACAAATCATTTTAACACATACCCAACTCCCTCCTTTCTCTGAAAGCTTGGAATAGTAAGACGTGATACCAGTGAAGCCGTGCTTGAGTGTACCCCAAGTGTTGTCATTACCACTTGCCCATACTGTTGTAGGGTGTGACTCATTGCTCATGGCCCTGAAAATAAGGGGACTCAAATGAAGAGCCTCTCTGTGGGTACCTGCGGACATTGTTTTCATTGCTCATTTTATAACAAATCAACAGTTTTCTCAGCAAAATTGTCACCTATTGAGAATTGTTTTACGTGGTAAAAAAACTTTCAAGCTCAAGCAACTGCCACAACAATGGAAAGAAGAGAATAAAAAAGCCACAGGTTAAAATAAGCAAAACAAAAACTCTGAACATGCATCTGAATTTTGGCAGTTTTCACACCTTCCAAGAAGGCAAAATAGCTGAACTAGCTACTGTCTCAAAAATGTAGCAAGATGAAACGAAAAAAAAATTGACAATTTGAAGGATATCTACTAGCTGCCTTAGTGAACTGGAACATAATTTTGATATATTATCATGCTCAGCATTCTCATCCAACAATGCAAAATATCATCAAACTACAGTCAATAATCTCTAACAGGTATCCAGAGTTGATCCCTGCAGCTGTTCAGACATTTTCAATGACTTTTTAAAGGAAGGGCATCTCTCAAAGATAGATGGTGCCAGTCCCATCTTATAAAGGGCGATGGGTGGGACAGGTAAGTAAGTGTCTTACTGGTTAACAATGGTTTACAAAACTTACCGACTTTAAATACAACATTATTACTTGACAGAAAACTGAATCCACTTACACCAACAAGTTAATGGAAAGTCATAAGGAAGAAAGAAGTACAGGTTGCTTGGGGAAAGTCAACTTAAAAAAAAGGATCAGGCCTACAAATAATTTTCTTTTCAGAGAGGACATTTGTCTGACTAAGTTGCCATTTTTTGTCACACAAACCAGAAGAGTTGTTGGTCATGCTTAAGTCAAATGGAATTATTTCTAAGTACCACCAGTTTCAAAAATAATAAATGAAGCACAGTCAACTCTAAGATGGAAACCTCTGGGACCAGCAATAAGTGTCTGTCTTATAAAGAGTCAAATAAGAGGAGTAAAGAAAGAAGGGGTGTGTCTGTTTTACCAAGGTGTCCATCTTATTGAGGCATCCATTGAGAGAGTTGACTATATTCATTGGCAATTTAATGATCTGACTAGTCATCATGTCTGACTGCATTAGGATTTTGTGGGACTAGACCAGATATGACTCAGTTATTGTCTGATTATCCATCCATTGTTATTTGCCGCTCTAATTACATTCATAAAATTAATACATGTGACAAATATTTTATTACTCACGTAAGCTCCTTGGCAAACTGAAGCATGTCAGAGGAAAAGGCTGTCAATTAACAAAAATAACAGTGAACAAACTTTCTCTAGTCAAATCATCTGACTTTATGAAATTCATTTTACACTTATTTAAAGCTGCTAAACATAATTCAAAAAATCAAATTGGTCAATGTTGGACTGTTAATCTTTGGAACAATTAGAATCTTTTCTTAACTTAAGCCCATCTGTAAATATTCTTAAACGTTCCTTAAGGAGCCAGCTTTTAGATAATTTTGTAAATACTTCCTAGTTAAGTTTAAAAACATTGTAATTAGTAATTAGCTAACATTGTAATAAAACTATTAGCATTAGGTTAAGTGTTGTAATTAGTTACTATAAATAATGTAATATAATCATTGTTCCTGAAAAACCCCTTTGGGGAGGTAACAATAAAGTATGTACGTAAAAAGTATGTATGTAATGTTGAAGTCATCACTTTGCTCTCAAATTTTCACAAATTAATAATTCTACACCTTATCGTAGAAAATGCAGCAAACAACTAACCTAGGACTCTAGCTGTCATCCTGTCAGCTACTTCTTTCAGCTTTTCTACGCTGTTGTGAATAGCCTGAATCTGCAGTCGACTGCTTTGAAAGCTGGCTTGTGTATCCATGGGAACTAGTTCCTGTCAATGTGAAAACATCTCTTGAAGATTTATTTTGCACATGATGACTCTTCTTTTGCTAGGGATTTATTACCGTGTCATTTCTTTGCGGACATTTGGGTGGAATAAGTGGACCTGACAAAGTGGTACAAGATTTTCACTCAAGTTTTCTAGTAAATATTACAACATTTTTTAGAGTGTTTTTATCGGAACTAATTGACTGATTTGTTCAGGGGTTTCAATAAAAACTGAAGTAGCCAGCAGGTTTGATTAGAGTAACCGACAGTATTAACAAAGGGCCATTAGTCCCCCTTTTCTGGCAGGTCTGGGGGCATGTTCATCCAGAAAATGTTTATTTTCCGAGCCCTAAAATATTATTTCCAGCGTGCTAAACAATAGAGTGTATTTTCGTTCAAGAAAATGTAGCTTTTATTCAAGTTTTGATTTATCAGCCACACAATCAACTCCTTCAAACAATTAAAACAGATGGCGATAATTCAATGACATACATTTGCACATGAGGAAATCCTGGGTAAATCTATGTAATAAGGTGTGAAAAATTGACTGAAATACAGCATTGACATAACCAACTAACTAAAGCATACCATAAATCCAGTGGTTCTTTGTGATTTAGAAAACACATCATAATTGCATTTTCATGAGATGTTAAGATATATTTTTTGTTTATGACATTATCAAAACATTATAGTTGCTTCTTCTTTTGCGGAAAAAGTAACCGACTTCTCTGAGCAAAGTAGCTGACGCATTTCGTCGGTCGTTTGGTACTTATTGAAATCCCTGTTTGTTACCTTAAGTGAGTTATCAATGACCATAAAACTGATGTGGTGTAAGGAAGAACATTCCACACAGAAAGTTACAAGTGGTTTAGGTGTGAACAGTTTAAATGATATTTTTGAAACCCTTAACCTTACCTTTTTAACTCAATGATTAGTAACTTTTTATAGATGAGGTTTTCAACTGTGTTTTGTTACGTTGTGGTTAGGGTCTAAACATTTCAATGCCAACAACTCCACTTTCACAAAATCTACCTTAGCTTTGGAGGCGAGAGGACTTGACATAAATTCATCAGGCATTGATTTAAACTGATCCTTCATCTTCTGACCAATATCCTTCAGAAACAAAACACAGATTGACATCATTTATTAAATAAATATCATTTTAAAGTGTTTGTTTTAAAACAAACTGCCAACTAAAAGGATACTGATGCTATATAAATATTCTATATTATTATTACAGTGAAACCTGTATTAAGCGGACACCCTTGGGGAATGCTGTAGTGTCCGCTTAATACAGGGTGTCCGCCTAATACAGGGTGTCCACCTAATACAGGTTTCGATAGATAACGTTATATGAAGTGTCAAATGCCATTCAAATAAACAATGGACACATTTAGAATAGTCCCAGAGACTATGACGATATACGTTTGCATTAATTTCTTTACCAAAGGGGACCAATTTGATCATAGTACCATAAACATAGATTGCAACTCAAATCTTGAGGAAATCAGATGAGTGAAACAAGCTCTATACAAACAAAACGAAATAGAAAACAGTACTGTACTGAGAAAATAATCAAATAAGTTCGTCAAGTCACGTTTTTTAATGTAAAAATCGAAAAATTTGTGGGTGGCAATTCGAGGCAATCTTTCACATTTCCGGTGTCTGGCATAATGGGTGGTAGAATTTAACTACCAGTGTCCGTTAGGTTGGCAACAATAGAAGTGACCATTTCAGGTACTTTTTAGGTGTCCGCGTCCGCTTAATAAAGGTTTCATTTAAAGAAAATAAGGGAAATAAATTTGGGGACTTCGGCTACTGTCCGCTTAATAGAGGGTGTCCGCTTAATACAGTGTCCGCTTAACACAGGTTTCACTGTATTATTATTATTATTATTATTATTATTATTATTATTATTATTATTATTATTATTATTATTAATTATCGTCCAGATCTTCTTTTCCTAATCCAGTCCAGGTGCCTATATGTTCTAGAATTAACACTTGGTTTCGAGTCTGACCTTAACAACAATGCAGTGTGTAAGAAAGAAAAATATCTCAACTTGATCAATGAAATGAGTAGAAATTACAGATGTGTGAGATTTGTAAATCTCTCCATGAGCTCTCTTGGCACTTTCTCCGATGAATGCTCCACGTTCTTAGACATGATGAATCAGTGTTTTCAAAATCAGCCGTCGGCCGTCGCATCCGACGGCAACTTTTTGATTTGCGACGCCTACTTTCCCTTAGGTAAATTATATGATAAATAAAAGTTTTGATAAAAAGTGGTAAGTGTTCACAAAGCTGTTGCGAGCAAGCAAACTTGAAATGTTTCTGGAGAATTTCGCCAAAACATCGCTTGAGTCTGCTTTTAAAATACGTTCTCTGCGTAATACGTTGAGTAAACGTTGAGGACGAGTCGAAGACTGGGTCTCAGTTACAGGGAACATTGTAGTTAGCGGTTTCTGAAGCCACTCTATAGAAAACGCCACATTTCGTCTCCAAGAACACGGCAAAATGGCAGAAAAGCGACAGCGTGGTTTACGGGAGATGTGGTCGCTGACAGTGACAAACAGGAAAAAGAAAAAGGATGCTGCAGGTAATAATGTAATGTTTTCCCGAAGATTACCCAAGCAGATGCCGGTACGCAAACGGAAGAGGAAATAGTTCAAATTGAGGAGAAAGAACAAGAAGAAGTGGTGGCAGTGGTAGCAAAAGTCTTCTGCCTAGATGAAGAGCATGGCGAATCGGACGACAGTGAAGCACATGACAGTGGATGGGAGGATGATGACGATGATAGTGAGGACTTTTCTGACTAAAAGTCTTTTTCTCAGATGACAAAGAATCTCCATGTTTTGACTTGTAGATACTACCATATTTCACTTCAATTAAATGATGAAGTAGGACTGAACGGTGTTTGTGATCGATAAGTAATAAGGATATTCAAAATTGTAAATTTTGTTTGAGTTTAAAACAGTTCGTGTATAGCTTTAGTATGTTTTTCAGCCTTTTCCAGGCATCAAGAGAAGGCCCAGAAAAAATGCTGCTGTCTAGACTGGACAAACAGCTATCCAAGTACATGGGTCTACATGAACAAAGTATACACATGTAGCTTTTGTTGGTTATTGAAAATTCAATTACCTTCGCTGTTTCTTAACCACTTTTACTTTTTTCAACCCAAATTATGTACTTATCTTTAATCTTTAATCTAATCTTTAATCATTATTTATACACGGTAAAAATCATCAGGTACAATAAATTCCTATACAATGACTAACATACTAAAGGCTTAAAATCCAAATCTTAACATTCAATATTAACTTAAAACAATATGCCACATAAAAACCCTGATTGTGGTTAAAGCGTATCCTAATATTGTGGTTAAAGTTACTAAAAGCATCAAAATTTATCAGTATTTTCGATATCTAAAATTTGCTAGTTCTGCGTCTCAAAATGCGGGAAAATGCATCTCCAAGAGTCTAGAAATTCAAAATTTCCTGGGGGGGCATGCCCCCAGACCCCCCTAGAGAGCAAGGCCCTCCGGGCCTTGCAACTCCTACTCAAATAAACGCAACTCCTACTTCAAAAACTATTGAAAACCCTGTGAATGACATTGGCATTGACAAAAAGCAGCAACTTTATATAATCAAGAAAATGATAAATATAGCCATTAGAGCAAAATATTACATCTTTTGTTGTAGAAATAGGAACTGGGATAGCCCAGACCTAATGCAATTTTGATTTCTTTCCTTTGTTTTGCTTTTTTTTGTTTTGTTTTGTTTTTTTTTTGGAATAATCCAATCTCAAGCAGCATTTGTAAATTGCCTATACGTAGTGAGATTTACAATTGTACATCCAAAAACACAAATAAAGTTTCCATTATTATTTAACTTGCTTACCCTTTTAGTGCAAATACACAGTTTTTTTTGGTTTTTGGCAATTTAACACAAGAGAAATTTTCAGCTAGTTTTAGAACTAGACAAAAAAAGGCTTAGAGTACTTTTAAATATACTTTCTTCAATCCTGTTCTTTTCACTAGACTTGTCACTAGTTAAACTCATTCTGTCCCAAGAAGAGGCAATGATTAGAGAGAAGCATTTTAGGTTCACAGTTTTCTTAGTAAACTGTTTTACAGTAAAAAAGACAAAAACAAAACAATCAAATTTTTCTTAGAAATAAGTCAAGATTACTTACAGAGCCCTTCACTGTGAGAAAAAAGTTTACAATTCTGTCTTCACAAAGCACGGGATGTCGTACAACAAGTGTCAGAAACCGTTTCAAGGCCCTTTTTCTGGCCTCGATAAACTCTTTACTACCTGTAAGAAAAACAAAGAGCACAGGCTATTTTTTAAAACAAGGGTTGTAACATGGCCAATGTCCTAGAATTAATCCTTAAAACACTGGTGTGAAGCTTTGACTCTTGATTCCATTTGAGCCACAAAAAGTGCCTAAAATTAGTCCAGAACATTGCAATGTATTACAGCAATGCTCACTGATTCTCTCCATCCCAACAAAATACAGTTGAATTCTGCTAGTTTCCCTTGTCGGTATTTTGCTTCTCACATGTGATATAATAATTCTATGAGACAGGGTCTACATGACTTATAAAATGCACCTGTAAGGCTTAAATAATAAACATGAAGTGATCAAATCAGCTGGAAAATTATTGTACTACAAGTGAAAGTCAGCACATTTACATGTAACAACTCTTTCTTCCATTTTGCATTTTCATTTTTTTGTATGAGTTGGTCATTATCTCACTGCAATGTAAAAAAACTCTTTACAAGGTGAACATTTAAAAAACTCATTAATCTGGTAAGGTTTTTATGGGAACTTTAAGGAACAGAGTGTAATTAAGGGGCGTTACCCATAACTCCTGTTACCTGTTATGAGTGATGGAAGTGGAAAGCTAACTAAACACCATAAATTTTATGTGAGATGATACGGGTGATTCTTCATTTGCTACGCCTGCTTCAAAATAAACATTCAAAAAACTTAATCACAACCCTGATTTCATTTAATAAACTGGACAGTCACAAAAGAGAATGATGAAATCTTAAGAACCTACCACCCATGAGCTTCTTAGGAGGAAGTGTAGGGATAAGACGATATGGAAACCGCAATAACAGCATGTCATGGAATGCAACAAAGTCATTGTAACGTCGATTGACAGTACAGTTATGCCTCTGAAACAAAAAGAGTGTATTGGACAATACTACCATCAGTAAAATTAGCAAGTTTTGAAAACCATTATTTTTGCACATCAGCTTCTTGATAGGAGACAATGGTTCATGGCGCACTTGTTCTTACATGTACAAGGCCAAGGCTTGGCCTGTAAGTTTACTGAGAAGGTACTATAAGGGAAATGGTCAAAACATTTGTATACAGCCTGAATCCACCACTCTACAGAAAGATTGGTGATGTCTCTGCATACCCCCTTGCACATCAAAAAATGATGGTTTCTCATAAGCATAGCTTACTCTCTTATTCTAGCAAACAATGAATGAACAATGAAAATTTTATGCACACAAGATATTTCAGTCTTATCTCAGATTTTCCCACCAAAAATATTTTGTCCATCACACTCATCAAATGGCCAGTGTGGCATGTCCTCTATAGCCCTGCCACCCTTATTCAAGAGAAGTCCTCATCGAGTACAACTTTCTACTCTGTATTTTGATTGACAATCAAATATTCCAGTTTTTTCTTCTTTGAAATTAGTGAAACTACGTTAAAACCATTCATCTAAAGTACCACCAGAAACTTATGAGTTTCTGGTACCACTTAAAGGTCTTTTACTAGTTGTAATCTCTGTCACTCCTTCAGTTTCTGTTTCAAATCAAAACACAGAACAGAATAAAAAATCATAATAATCATTATTGACGGCATTTTTCGTCTTCCTCACCTTACTGGAGACATGATATTCATTGTGTTTCAAGATGATTCCCTTCTTTTCTGGTACAAGCTCAACATTAACTGTATCTAGACCAACAAGTTCATCATAGTTATATCCCAGTACATTGGGGTTGTTTTCACGTCTCTGTCGCACACTGAGAGTTTTCAAATCAGACAAGTCTCCCAATGAAGGCTTTGGTAACTCTGCAGGTAAAGTAAAAAATGATGATGATAAAGTAAAATAAAAATAATAACAAAATAACAATAAAACAGATATACCTGATTCAATAAAACAGAAATAATAATAATAATAATAATAATTCAAAGTAGACAGACTGCAAATTATCTAAGTTGCTAAAAAATATATATCTACGTGTCGCAACTGTTCATCAGTAGGATGCCTAAAATGCATGCAATTCCACAATTGGTTTCGGCTCCATTAAATCCTACCCCAATTGCAGAACATACACTTTATTTAAAGAGGGCAGCACAGAATAGTTACAGACACTAGTAAACTTGTAGCCATCTAACAAATAAAGGTTGCTTTGGCAGCAGATCATTGGCAATTGGTCATATGGAACTCACTGTAATGATTTGCTTGAGTGACCGACAAACAATAGCTTCCTGGGCTGAGTTGTTCAAAACTGGGTTAAGATAACCCAGGGTTAGTGTGAGATTTGCATTCAGATTTAAAAGCTTAAAAAGCATTTCAGTTTTAATTCTTTTTGTATACAAGTTGATGATAAGAAGCTCTAAAAATAAAAGAGAAAATTATCTGAGGAAATGCTTTTGAACACAAGAAATAGAAACGCGGGTTAAATTTAACCCTGGGTTAAGTGCTAATTGGCCTTCGAACAACTGGGCCCTGGTATATAATTGCCTATTGCCCAAAGCAACTGTCATTTGAATCAGGTATATAGGGTATGTAGGTGACTCAAGCAATTTCCAGTGGCCCTTGGAAACTAACTGATGCCTTTGGGTGATGAAAAAAAACTCAGCTCAAAACTCATTAGTTAGATACCTGTAATGTGTATAAAATAATGAGTTACAGACATGCCATTCCTTTACCTGTATCAATAAATTGTTCCAGTGCTTTGTCAGATATACTTTTTCCTTGCTGTGCAAGAGCTGTTAATGCCAGTGCTTTGTACAAGCCATCTCTTGTTACATACCCATCTTGCCTAGGATCCACAGCCTCCCAAATCTATAATAAAATATATTACCAGGGTGCAAAGAAAGTCAGTTTTTACAGCCTGCCATTCGGGCAAGCTGTAGCTAGCATGTACTAGCCCACAAGTCATTTAAGCTAGCCCGAAAACCCTTTTTGATTAGCAGGATTGATTACAATCCTTCTGTAATTTGAATTTCCCCTCAAAGCAGCACTTGCCCGTCGGGCAAGTTAAGAACAAAAGTCACTGGCCCGACAGCAAAATCCACTAGCCCCGGGCTATCGGACACGACTTTCTTTGCACGCTGTTACTATAAAGTTAAACTCATCGCCAATTGATGAGCTTGGGAACTGGTGCCTAAAAGGTTAGCGGGGAGGCCAACTGTGAAAAATACGGCAAAGGAGGTAACCAGGCAACCCTGGAAGCGGGAACCACCCCTGCCAGCAGCCGCTAACTGGCACCGTCACACTGAGGGTACTCAGTGGAAAATACTTACCCACATACTTACCTGCACACCCCCACATGACAGCAGGGAGGGAGGAGAGGGAGCAAGAATCCGCCAAGATTCGCCAGCACAAAGCAACAAGGTGATCCGCAACGATCAGCTAGAATAGCTTGCAAAATAGTGCAAAATGATAGCGGCCCTGAAAACCTAAGTGGGCCACCCCGCATGTCACGCATGCTAATACGGGGACACTGCTGGCTGCATTGGCTCGAGGTTAACTTAGCCTAAATAAAATTTAGCCGCATATAAATAAATGAACAAAAAATCATTTATACTATGACTATTATTATTCTCACTCTCAGAGGGTCCGAAATCAAAGTTTAATAACTGCATCAATGAAAGTTAGGGACCCAAAAAAAGCAGAGGCTTCCACTTTTGGCAGCCAGCCTCTAGACTGAATAATGCCACCATGGCTGGCAGAACCCAGGGTTGGAAACAAAAATTTTGGAGTACTTGCCATCAAGGCCAGTGACATTCAAATTACACTCCCCAAGATCAGTTTTGACTTGCTCAAAGTCTCCTCTGTAAAAAAATTGCCCTCTCCTTACTGCATGGAAGTTCACTCACCGTCCCCTTAATTCCAGCAAACAATGTCAACACACTTGTGTACCTCAAGCAAAGTGTTGAAATTATGCACTAAAAGCAGTGGAGAAGAACCGTTTACCCGCGTTTTGAAGCTCCGTAGACAACGCAGTGTATTTAATGACTGGAGGTATTACTTTGTACGAGTTCATCCTTCATGTAACAATCATCAAAGCAGAGGCCATTTGGTCTATGAACCGCTTTTAAAAAATACCAACCAGTGTTGACGGACTTTTTAGAATGGTAAGCTTTTGGCTTGAGGATTACTTCCAAGTGGAAAGTGAAAAGTGACGTTAATTTGGAACAAATATACTGTGTATATGAAAACTGTACTCGCCAAAAAGGGCTAGTGATCCTTGATTTGTACTCGCCAGACCATTTTGAAACTTGCCTGGGCGAGCGCCAATGTCCAATCCTGACAACCACACAACCAAACCATGAGACCAAGCCATTTAGAAGACAAAATTTCTATTACGTTTTTGGGTTTACCTCAAGTGACACTAAGTCTTAATTTCGACCTTTTGCTTTCTCTCTTCCACTTCTTTCGAGTGTAAAGTATCAATGAGTCAAATGAGTCAATGAGTCATGAGTCATGAGTCAATGAGTCAAGGAGTCTGATCTGAAAAAATAAAAGTTTCAGTAGAAACAATAAAATTAAGCATTACATTTACTTATTTTGTCTACTTCCTTCATTGCTGCCTGCACACGCAAGGCCCATTTCTGACATGAAATCTCTTCCTCGGCTGTTTCTTAGCATTTCCCAGGCCCTACCACGTAGCAGAAGCGAATAATAAGCTAGCCTAAATTTTGTGAGTGCTACCAAAGAAAGTCTTTAATTCCCTTTGAACACAGCACTTAAAGCAAACAGTAAATTGAGATATATAAACCTATTATGGAATTACTTAGAGCTCAAAGACTCAAATCTGGGAATACTCGTTCTTTGACATTTGTTGTGTTGATGTTTGGGCTCGGTTTGAAGTAGAAAATCGGTCACGAGTGCGAAGGAAGGTTCTTTTTTTATATCTGTATCGCTATGTTACTCATTAGCTTGTCATTCTGGTGTAAAGATAAGTATTCCGGGAAGTAGTCATTAGGTCTTAGCGAGGAAACAGGGGGAATACAATGTTCTTTCATACCGTGGACTGCTGTGGATCATGAACACACTAAAGACGATCCAGGACAGAAAATTTATGTGTTAAAGCGTCCGCTGCAACAATCAATAGCAGAGTACTTTTCAGTAGACAATCTTCCCAATGTAGTTCACTACTTTTTCCAATCAGTTTTACTTGCCTATGCTACGAGATGAACAAATTATATTGTAATTTGCCCAAGGAGGGGTATGAAACAGCGAGTCGGACAGTTGTACACAGTCAGTGTTTGTTATTAGAAAAATACAGTGTACGATTAATTATTATTGAGGTATTACCGTATACCCATTGTAATTTTAAATAGCTTTCAAGGCTCGTTGATTGATTAAAATCTTTGGGCATTCATTATTTACATTAGCTCGCCTGTTTAACACTCGTGCATCAACTAATATGAACAACCTTGGGGCAGCACTTCACTTCTGGTATGAAACCTCTAGTAGTATGGATTGTCTGATGGTTTAAATGGTTCTTAAAGGGTGTCTGGGAAGGCTATTCTTCGGGGCATGCACGTAGTAATAGCAGCAGGGCCTGGGATACTGCTAACAAACAGCCCAGGTTGAGATTTCATGTCAGAAGTAGGCCTTGCAAGTGCAGGCAGCAATGAAGCAAGTCGACAAAATAAATAAAAGTAATGCCTATTTTATTGGTTCTACGGAAACTTTTATTGTTTTAAGATCTCACTCACTGACTCATTGACTCATGACTCATGACTCATTGACGCATTTGACCCAGAAAACATTCGTTCTCACTTCTTTCACTTTTCTTGCCCCATTTTTTCCTTTTTCTTTCATTTGCTCGGATTTTCTACGCTTAATTTTGGCTAGAAAAGTCTTTGGAAAAACAGCTGTTATAATCATATTCAAGATTAGATTTATGCAAGTGTAGTTGAGTGGTGGAAAAAGAATTTCATTGAAATTTTGAATCAACTTTAGCCTGCGTAGCTGGCGGTATTGTGTAGTAGTCAAGTGAGATTTAGCGGCGGAGCCGTTGTAATATAGTCGAGTGAGATTTGATGGCGGAGCCGTCACGAGCGGTGAAGCCGCAAGAAATACCGCCTGCCAGAGAACCATGATTTTTCGAATGCCGCCCACTTTTGTCACGTTAGCTGATCCCAATTAAATCAGCCAATCAAAGAGAAACCTGCAATTTGAAACTTCCGATTATTTTCGCGCGAGACAGTTTAGAAATAAGCGTTGACAGGCTAAACACGACTCCTAAGCTCATGCCAATGTGAAACGTGACCTTGTGAGTTTGCTTGAACAGAGGTTTTTTTTATTTTCTCGGCTCTCGCTCGAAGGTTACTAGCACTACACAGTGCATGCATCATTCTAAACTTTGACTGAGTAAATCTTTTTTTGCAACACTAGGCTTAACATTAAAAGGTCATGAAGCTGGTTTGTTACACGCATACTGAGTAACCATTTCTGGTGGTTTATTCTTCTGTAGGTGTTCCTGATAGGATTTGATCTCAGATGCAGTTGTAAAGTGTTTTAATTTTCTTTGACCCTTCTTTTTTATGGCTAAATTAAGACAATTCCAGCGCTGTGAAGTTTAAAGACGTCATTTCGGCAATTTGGTCATCAATTATGCTCTTTCTAAAGCGGAAATCACAATCACTTTACATGTACGTCTTTTCCAGTTTGCCATCTGCTCCCTAAATTGGGAAATATATGCGAAGGCTCATCTAACATGATTGACATATGTATGGCCCTCGACCAATCCGTTTCCCCGCACACTGGTGTGCGGACCATTCAAAATACCGGGGTTTTCTGGCAGGCGGTATTTCAACCGCCTCGTCCCTACTCCTTTTTTTTGGAACACAGCTCCGCCGCCAAAACTTTAATCTCGCACCCACACAAAAAAAAAATACCGCCAGCTACGCAGGCTACATCAACTTTAGATAGTTTTTTTGCATTTTTCTCTAGCGTGTTTGATTTCATTGTGCTCATTCTGGTTTGAAAAATTTCTTCCCCCTACACAAGTTAGGTGTCAAAGCTGTCCACATCAGTTAAAACTGATGATGTCACAAGTAGTACGAGGGTGTAATTGGCTTAAGTAGACCCCACATCCTGCCGAGACCCATACCGCCTAATTAGTAATCATTTCATGTAAAACAGGTGCAGTCAAAAAATAATGATCTGAAAATGTATTTATCAGCTTGATTATAGAGTTATTAGCGACTGGACCTGTCAAAGATCGTTATTAGCAGCGCCTAAATATGTCATTAAATACCAATACCTCGTGTTTGTATGCTTATTTACAAGTACGCATCGCGCATGTAATTTCAGGAAATGCAGGAATGAAAACAAACAAAAATATATTCACTGAATACTTTTAAGGAATCATAACGGCACTGATCAAGCGCAGATAAACAACAATCTCCAAAACAAAAAGCAAAGTCAGATGACGCGAATGTATTTGCGAGTACTGCGAGCGGAACAACTTTTTCCCTGTCTGAGACCAACGAGTGCGCGCCTGCTCCCCAGCTGGGAGAGGGTTCTTGGAACGTCGACCCCTGCCTTTCACCAACTTACTTAAGTAAGCCAATTGCCTTCACATTATACTTTAAGAACTCCTTAAAACTCACCTGGCTCAGAGACTGTTTGGGAAGACTTGACTTTACCAAGATCTTCACGAACATGTCGCGCTCGATTCTCTCCTCTTGGTTCGGGCATGCTATCTGATAAACTTCCCGATAGTAGGCGGGCACGGAACCTGCAGATTAAACCACAGAAATTTTAAGCAATAAAATTTGAACCAAGAACTACTTTTTAAACTGCAAATTTCTTTGCATTCCATAATAAATTGAATCGAAAGACAACAGTTATTTCACACAGTACTTACCAAAGCTCAATGCAGCCGCCATGATCACACATGCAATGCGCGCCTCCCCCCTCACGTGACACTAATCACACCATTTTCAATATGGCGGACGAAGTGTTCCAAAGTGACACTAAATGTTTAGATCAGTATGATTATTTTTTTCGTCCTGATCTTCTTTCTGGTAAAGTGGCGTTTATAACTGGAGGTGGCTCGGGAATTGGTTTTACCATTACTGAAGTGCTGATGAGGTAAAATACCCGTTTAAAGTTCAGCTTAATTAATGTAACGGAAAGTGGATCCGGTTTTTCCAAAATTAAACAAAACGTAAGCTTAAAATGAAGAATTTGTAAGGCTTATTTCAGTAACTTATAGGAATGCCCAGTATGCTGGGTGATTTTCCAGTCAACAAAATGAAATCGCTCAGGCAGTCTTTGTCCCAAAACTAGCTAGAGGATTTTTCATATAGCAATCCTGGAAAATGGGGGTGGGGTATTCAACTCACGTTACATAGGGGGGCCGCTACGCTTACAAAGCTTCTCAGGATTAGGTGAGGAAATAGTAACAAACAACAGTAATGATGGACCTCATCCCTAAAACAATAGAATACTGTCATTCCCAGACCCACAATCCTTGCTGACCTGTGCGATGGATCAAGATGAATGTTCTGTTTTTATTCTGCCTGTGCCTTGGATCAAGATGAACATTCTGGTTTTATTCTGAAAGACCCCCGCTCCTTGTGGATAAGCAGATTCCTACCACCTCCCTTTTTTTTCAGGACCCTTTGAAAAAAGTTTCCTTCCCCTCCCCCACACTCATTTTTTGTCAGTCCCTTTGAAAACAGACTACAACTAGTTACCTGCTGATAAGGGAATTGGAGTAAAAGTGAAATGCTTAGGCTGATTCCGAAACAGGAATTCCGCTAATTGCAGACTTCCAGCTTGCTATGCATCCTTGGAAATTCGAAACAATAACCTTTACCAACTTACATGCATGCAAACATGGTGGCCACTGCTCTTCCGCATTATCCTGGAACCAGCCAGAGCTCTTGATCCTTGGCGTTTGCAAAAAGAATCACTACTCTGAGAACAAGATTGACAAAAGAGCTGCATGGAATCAAAGATCCAATGAAATTAGAGCTGCACAAATGTTTTATTATTACAGACAGCTGCTGGACCCTTTTAGTATCCTTAATAGCAAGATCAGTCTGTAATACTGGGGGACTATGTCAGTGAAATGTCTGTGATTTATTTTTGTCCATATTGTCAGAGTGGCATTAATATCACAACAACATTAAAGGAGCTGTGTCATGGTAAAATTCAGCCAAATTAGGAAATTACAAAATACCTGATAAATTAAGTGAAACCTAAAAATAACCGCTTAAAACTTTAAAGGAAGGTTAAAATAACCTAACGGAAACAACAGATGCCAAGGATGGGCAAAACTGAAGAAGATTGAAACGGGTGGGTTTTTAAAAACAGCTGTTCAGCCTAACAGTTTTTCAAAGTTGATCCCTGCTGCTTGCAACTTCAAAAATAATGCTAATGAGACATATTTCATTGTCACGGATCTCTGATTTTGTCATTTACATGTAAATTCTTTGTTTACTTTAAGTTCGATAGCAATTGAGGGTGAGTAATGGGCGAAATTGAACAAAATGAACTGGACTGCCGTGACACAGCCCCTTTAAACATGGACAACAGAAACAATAACACATGCACAGTACAATCGACCTAATTAAATTATTCTCTCAAGGCACCTAATCCATTAGATCTCCACATTGTGACAGTATCTGGAGTAGATCTTAGGGTGGATCACCAGATCACTAAGCTAATTTCAAAATGATGACTGCAACAGAAGAGTTGTAAGCAGCAAGTTGATGGCTGTGTAAAATGGCTTGGAGTTCCAACTTAGTCAGGCATACTAACAAGAATTATTTTTAACAAATAAATAAAATGATAATATTGCATTTCCTGTTAACAGGCATCAGTGTGCTACAGTGATTGTAGGTCGAAACTTTGACAGGCTTAGAAAGGTAAGTTTTTCAGGTTGCAAAATCATGTTATTTGCATTTAAATACTGCAGATTTCAAAGTTACTGAGATGGTAGTTAAGAAGTTACACTGAGATTGTAACTATGGTCATGAAAGTCTCCATTGATATTGTATGACCACCTGTGTGGATCCTGACCCTTTAATGGTCATAGACTACTTTGACACAGACTGTTACTTGTGAGGGGGAGGGATCTTCCAAGTTTCCTAAAAAAAGGTACTGAGATCCTCATGCATCACTGATATATTCAACACCCATGTGGATGCATGCCGGGTCTGCACAATCTGTGAGCCAACGAACCATGCGAGCCATGGGAAAAAAAAAAGAGTTTTATGAAATTTTAAATGCATGAAAAAATAATGTTTCCTGCTTAGTTCTGAAGTTTTGCTGATGGAATATTTGCAGATTTGCAGAGTTACACAGTATTGATTGACTTTCACTGATTAGGGTTAAGCACTCAGTTAACTGACTAGGGTTAAGCACTTACTTTACGGATAATTTAGGGTTAAGCGCTCTTTAAGGTTAAAAATGTTTTTAACAGATGAGTGTTAAGCCCTCATTAAACAGATCATTTACAACAGCTACCTTCCGTTTTTTTTTTTTTTTTCATATTTACTGCTTTTTCGATTTCTTTAGCATGGCTCACATGGCTTGCTGGCTCATACCTCTTGTGACTTAAATTTTGTAATTTATACCTTTTATTACCTGTGCAGGTGGGAGGGATCTTTCAAACCATACTCAAATGAGCATGATTGAGTTAGTAGAACAGGCCAGAGTAAAATGCCAAAAAAATGTTACAGTGACCTGAAAACTCTACTGAAAATTTTGTTCCACTACCCACCAGCACTTTAAATTCCTCCTCAGGGTTTCCTCTAACTAACTGCTTAATCAACAAAAAAGGGTGGGAAGGAAAACAGATAGGGAGAGAAACTAAAAGGTGTAGGAAGAAAAACTGATATCACCCTGAAACCCAAAAATTTCTTTTAATTTGCCCTCTGGTTAGCAAATAATTATTCATCATAATTTTCCTGTTATATTATCATTTTAGGCTGCTAAGAAGCTGGAGGATCTGACCGGACAGAAATGTGTCCCAATAAAAGTCGATGTTAGAAAGGTAATTTGTCTCCTTTAAAGGTATTGTTTAAATCAGTGTTGTTATGATATTGGCCATGAAACACTCAAGTTTTTTTGAACATCTTAGTATGTGTAATCAAATGGTGATGAGTGAAATTAGGGAATAATTTCAAGTGCATTTTGTCCAAATCCTTATAATTTCCCAAGCCTTTAGGCCTTTAGGTTCAGGAAATTATAAGGACAAAACGCAATTGAAATTATTCCCTAATTATTTCATGAGTATACCATTTGATTACCTATTAATATCATGGGTGACGAATTACATTAGCAATCAAGGATTTTTGACTTGTTTATCCTGGATCGTATCGATTGATTGTGAACTCCACTCTCTCAAACATTTAGAGGTAAAATTTGGCTTAAGTTTTCAGAATTTTTCGACAAAATACCTCTAAGAATCCTTCTTGATGTGCTCTTTCGTGTGTTCAGGTTTTCTAAAGTGTCTTTTTGTGCCCTGACATCTTCATTCATGACATTTTAAAACTTCCTCGCCATCTTGAAACGGAGACGTACAGCAGGTTGCCATGGCAATTTAGTAATTTCACATGTGCATTTACAAATTAATAATGGTAAATGAACTGAGTGGAGTGCAATTTGGTCTGAAATCATACGTGTGATTTCAAAATCGAACGAGCGCGCAGCGCAAGTTCGATTTGAAATCACAAGTATGATTTCAGACCAAAATTGCACCACACGTTTAAGTTAATGGTGAAATAATGTAGGTAAAACTTTAGGGTCTTAAATCAGTCATGATTATAAAATAACTAGCTCATCGGGGTTTGTTAAAAAACCGAAACAAAAAGGCTTTATCATCTCATTTTGTATTCGCAACAGAAATGATGCGATATAGAACAAAAATGGTGCGATTTAAAACAGAAATGATGCGATTTAGAACATGAATGACGTGATTTGGAACAGATTCGATTTAGAGCAAAAAATTGTGCGATTTAGGAATAAATCACACTGCTGAGAGCCAATCAGATTGCAAGGATAGCCAGTGATTTCAAAGTGGATGTAATAAACGCTGAAATTTCACGCCAAAATTAAGGAGTAATTTATTCTTCACCTATGATATTATACTAGAAAATACATGTAATGGCGCATGCACAAAGTAAAGGACCCTTTTTTTGTCAGGTCAATGAAATAGAGAAAATTATACCAGTCGTTTATCACAGCTAGCACAGTTGAGTGAGCATTAACTATATCTCTGCTAGTTTGTTAAATGCTAGGTAAATGAAGTTGAAGCAGCAGTGGACAAAGCTCTGGAACTGTTCTCACGAATAGACATCTTGGTCAATGGTAAGAGTGTGAATATTTTCACATTTCCAGACGTGCTTACATCTAGAAAAAGCACCAACTTCTTATTCCTGGTGGAAGAATTTGAGCTAATACAGCAGCGTAACTACCACATAATTTTTCAAAAAAAGTCAGAAACTAAAATAAGCTCAAACCAATGCAAGAAGATAAATGACTATATGAAGGCCTTTCTCCCCAGTTTCTCTGATTGTAGAAGTCTGTATAGGCTTGGGAACTTGGGAATTTTTCAGTATGTCATCTGAAGTCTTTGGATACCCTCAGGTGTGATTGGGTAACGTCTACAAAAAATCCAATAGAATTGTCAGTGAAAATAAAAATCTAATGCCTTAATGCCCCCTAAGAGTCCTGTGTACATACAGGTGTTTTAATACTGTTTTGAGTCACGTTATCATGTCTATAGTGCTTGTGCTATCCTGGTTTATACATAGGACATTTGACATAGATGCAAGCATATGTCCAAGGCACCTCAGAAATAAGAAATAAATAAAATGTAGTTTTAGTGCTTTATGTATCTCAAGCAAATGTGAGATAAAATTAAAAGAGCATGTTACCATAACTTTTACTTCACAGTTGTAGAGAAAAAAACTCATGATTACTTTATGATTACTTTGGATTTTTTTCCTCTCAGGAGCAGCAGGAAATTTCCTTTGTCCTGCAAGCAAGCTCTCTTATAATGGATTGAAAACAGGTACTTAAGTTAAGTACACGTAGATTCAAGGCAAGTAAAAAGGGTTTATAGTGTCCTCATTAGCGAGAGTCTGTAATAGAGGGAGATCGAGTTTATATCAGTCAAATGTCTGCAATTCATTTTTGCCTGGGATCTAGCTGCTGTCCATATTATCAGGGTGTCCACAATGCAAGAGTTGACTGTACATGCATTTTGCTACCAGTAATATTATTTTATTCTTCTCTGCTACTCAATTTACTAGCATCCCGTGGTATTTTTTTGTTGTTGGAATATTTAGCTCTTGTTAACCGAGCAGGAGGTCTGTATGGGAAAATCTTGACCGAGGTCGCCAGTACAGACCGAACGCAGTGAGGTCTGTACCAGCGACGAAGGTCAAGATTCTCCCATACAGACTGACCTAGCTCGGTTAGTAAGATGTTTATTATATGGCCAAACAAGAAAGCAAAGGAACAAAAACAACAATTTCGACTTCATCTTTGCTCGTAGCTTCCTCGGCAGGACTCAAATTTGGCAACATTTGCTCTTTTTCTATACCTGCTTCCTTGTGAAGGTCCATTTAGTATTATTAACAGGAACAAGCCAATTTTTTCATATTCTTTGTTTGTAACTTTTTGAGGACAACTGTTACAACAAGATCGGTCTAGATGCCGGTCTAGATGGGAAAATCTAGACCGCGGTCAAGATCGATTTTAGCCAATCAAATTCTTGAATTTGTTTGTTTCCAGTCCTTTTGAGACATGGCCATATAATAAAGAGCCTTATTTCAGGTTATGTTGCTACCTGTTCTTATCTGCTGTTAATACAGTTGCACCTCTATTAAGCAGCCAGTAATCAGAGTCCTGAAATAATATGCAGAAAAGAAAGGAAAATTAAACCTCTATTAAGCAGCCACCTCCATCAAGTGACTGCAGCCACCTTTTGGTCATCCCTGACTGAGTTTTTCTATTGCTGTCCTCTCTTCTTAGTGGTCATCAAATTCTTGATACACTTAGTTTGTCTTTGTTTTAGAATATATAGGATGAAGGAAAATTTAGTCGGAGATAGTAGGTGACAACTTTTTTGCTGCTCCTGTCGCATGTTTGTACTAATTTATGATGAGCTTCTATTAAGTGGCCAACCTCCATTAAGCAGTCACTTGCTGCTACCCGGAGAGTTGCCTGCCCCCAATGGAGGTTCAATTGCAGTAGTCTGTAATGTTAACGAATTAAGGTTCTCCCAGTATTTTTGGTGACTGGTGCAATTTTGTTCTTTCCTTGCAGTTATTGATATAGACACACTTGGAACATTCAATGTGAGCAAAACAGTTTATAACAAATTTTTCAAGGTATGTTTGTTATCTTGTTTTATTGCACTTTAATGTAAAGCTTAGCTAAAGGAACTACGACATTAATAGATTATTCTCTGCTCAAGATTATTCAGAATGTTGTAGGGTGTGTTCTATTGGCATGATCTGGGTTAGGACCAGTAATTCAAGATGAATCATAGCACATCAAAGGAACCATCGAATCCTCCCTGGGAAAGGATTCATTGGTTCATTAATTTGATGTACCAGTGATCTCAGATCAAGGATCCTGATCCGGATCATCCCAAAGGAACACACCTATACATGGTTTCTTGAAATTTTTATGTATACAGGAGAATGGTGGTGGAAGCATCATCAACATTACTGCTACGCTTCATTACAATGGAACTCCTTTCCAGGTGTGTGGTTGAATTTGTTCTGGTAGTGGTATATTTAGTTAATGATTTATTTTTTCAGCACAATGATTATGTGGGAAATCAAGCAGACTTAAATAATTATAATATTTTACTGGAAAACTATTTTCACTGCAGAATAGCACTTAACAGTCACAATCCATTCTTTATACCTTTTATAATTCTTTTTCTTTTTAGTTAAATTAAAGTTGCACAGTTCAAGGCTCTTTGATTTGCACTTTTTTTCTGTCGTTATTAGCCATTGTAGGCTTTTCTAGCTATTTTAGGCTCTTAATTAAGTTATCCAAGTATCAAGTTCTTCTGTCGGCTGCAAAACTGTTACTCTTTTAAAAGACATTAAAGAAAATAACTCGCAAAGGTTACAGTGTCCACTGTAAAAGCATAAATTCCTACAGGGCATTTGAGCGCAAGATAAACAACTACTTTTTATCACATCTCCTTAATCTCAGTCAATGTCTTCTCACTTTCTACAATCCTTTTGTTCAAAGGTCATGCTCATTCTTACAAGTAACAATAATGACGACGACGGCAGTGAAAACGTCACTAAACAAATGAATTTCCCTTCTTTCAAACTTTAGCGCGTCTATTTGGACCTGCTCAATATGTCAAATGTAGGCGATTTTTCGGGGAGTTGAATTCTTAAGGACTTTATATCCAGGCTCAAAAATGGAAAGGAAAATTGATCATCGTATGTCCACGTCCTCCAAAAAACGTCGCATGAGAAGGTTTCACGTCGTAGTTGTGCAGTAATCGTCAAAGAAATGTACAAAAAATATTAATGCACGTGCAGAGCTGTTGTTTTGCTGAAAATAATTATTTTTTTGACGTTGTCGTTGTCTTGTCGTGGTGATGGTTACTTAAGCTCCCTAGTACTAGTGGCAGATCCAGGGGGGCTGGGCCGGGGGCTGCCTCCCCCCCCCCCCTGCCCGAAGGTCTGGATCTACCACTCTTTACTGTATCAAGTCAAGTTGTTCGGGGGCCAAATTTGAAAAAGTTTTGTTCCACAACACAAGACCATTTTTAAGAAACAATTATATATAAGACGAATGTAAATGTATAGTATAGGAAGTCTCACTTGACTTGTTGTTTTAAAAGTTTGATTCTTCCTTTAGTGTCATGCTGGAAGTGCTAAAGCAGCAATTGGTAAGTAAAGATACAACTATATTAAATTTGTAACTGGCCATTGTGGCAGTGAAGCTAATAAAAACATAACGAAACCAATTGAATACCCCAGTTCCCTGATGATCTGCTCTTACGGGTTGTTTCGCTGCATATCAAAGTCATTTCGCTACAAGTCGACGTTTCGCTGCGTAACGCGGCAGCCTTCTCGCGTCAGTTGGGAAAATTAGCAAATAACTTTGGTTTTAGCGTTGTTGTTCAAAATGTATATTAACCTTAAGATTGTATTAGCGTGACTTATATCAAACTTAATGGCACTTTAAGAGCCGTTTGTTCGTTAACTTAATGCATGACAAGTCGGAGACTACAGGAATTCCCTACAGGAGTACAACTGAGAGCTTCATTCTATGGTACCACGGAGATTTAAGTGGTCTACTTGTACTGTCATCCCCACCCCTAGTCAGTATTCTCCCTCCGTGTCGGTACCTCTTGTATTGGATTTGTTCCAACTAACTTGCGGAAACCAACCTGATGAGCTCTGCCTGGTGAGTAGGGCTTCACAGTGGCAAAACGAATTTGCAGCGAAACGACCGGACACTAGCTAAGGGTTTACGGTCACTGAGTCGCTCGAAATCAGAGTTATGTCGTCCGAAATTTGTAGTCAAGTCGCCCGAAATGCTGAGTTGTGTGGCTCGAAATTTTATCACGCTTAACCACATCCTAGCACCTCTATTACACATTTATCGCGCTTTTCTCGTCTCATCGAAGATTTAAGAAGAAGATATATTACACGCACTCTTTATTTGACAAAAATTAACTTTGTTTCTCTGTGCACTTCACCTAATACAATTCGGGCGACATGACTCAGCATTTCGGGCGACTTAACTCTGGTTTTGGGCGACATAGCTTCGGGCGACTTGAACGGTTACCTAGCCATGCCCGTCTCAGAGCTTCTCTCTTCTACACGCAATTTCCTCCCATCCTTTTTTCGCCTTAATCACGTAGGAAACATAATGATTCATCATTATTCTGTTATTTGTTTTTGACCACCAGAGGGTATGATGAGACACCTTGCAGTTGAGTGGGGACCAGATGGTGTTCGAGTGAATTGTGTATCACCAGGAGCTGTGACAGACACTGAGGGGTTTCGTAAACTTGGTTAGTTTGATTTATCTACTTCGAAAGGGAAACAATAAAGCTTTTCCTCCCCCACCCCTACTAAGAAATGTTGTGCCGCTGTTCAAGTTACCTGTAGGAAACATCAAACACCCCGACTTTGAAAAGGAGTTTTAGGCAAGGAGCCCAGACTGTTTTGTTCTCTTAAGTATATTAATCCATTTGACGACAGTTTCTGAACACTGTCTTTTATCGCCAGTTGTAGCAAGCTAAGTGACTGGAATATCAACATGAATTGGCTGTCAACAATTTGATAACTGTACCGGATCGGTCAAGGAATTCATTGGAATTATTCTTGCTTCTGGAAAAAATGGTCTAAAAGTTGCCCCTCAGCCAAATTGAAAAACTTGTCCGTAATGCGTTACTAGTTTTGTAGTCGCTTATAGTTTACACTATAGTTTACACTCGCTTGTGCTTTACAGTCGACTCCCTGTTAATGGACACCACTATAAGAAAGACATCTCTCTAAGACGGACACTAGTGTTGACTGTATTGTAAAACAACTAAAAATACCAGTACAAGGGCATAGCTAGGATTTTTCGAGGGGGGGGGGGGGTCACACTGGGTCACACCCAGGGTATTTCCCAGATGGGTTTGTGGACATCTCAGCCGGGTTTTACTAAAAGTTAATTTTTTTGGGAGGGGCAGTGAGCGGGGGGGAGGGACAAGCCTACAAAATAGCGGCGGAGATGAAACCCAGGCAACATAAACTACTCCTTCTTTCCACTCGCTGTTACTTTACAGTCACCCCCCTGTTAATAGACAACAAAAAAAGAAAGACATCCTGCTAAGCCGGAAACTGGGTTGGGTTGTATTGTAAAAAAACTAAAAAAACCAGGACAAGGGGATAGCTAGGTTTTTTGGGGGGGGGGGGGGGGTCACACTGTGTCACACCCAGGGTACTTACCAGATTGGTATGTGGACATCTACGCCGTGTTTTACTAAAAGTTACATTTTTTCGGATGAGCAGTGAGCGTGGGGGAGGGACAAGCCTACAAAATAGCTGCGTAGATGAAATCCACGTAACATAAACTACTCCTTCTCTCTATCTCGCGTTTTCGGCACCTGGGCCGGGTTGTTCAAAGCGGGGTTAAGATAACCCAGGGTTTGTGTGAAATTAAAAAGCAAGTTTAGTTTAATTCCTTTGGTCTGCAATTTGGTGCTTGGTTGCTCTAAAAAGAACAGGGCAATTATCCGAGGAAATGCTTTTACACGAAAGGAAAAAGGAACCGGATTAAAATTTAACCCCGGGTTAGCGCTAACTGATCTTCGAACAACTGGGCCCTGAATTGTAGGGATATAAAACAACTATCACACAAAGGCGGGGGGGGGAGGTCACAGGCACCTCAGGACCCCCCTAGCTACGTCGCGGCAGTAAACTTTCTTTAAGTCGTCGCTCATTTTCGTGACATTGTCACTGAAAGAAGTCGACTTTTAGAGGAGTCTAGGCACACGTGCAGAAAACTGGTTAGAAATTTTATTTTTTAAAGCAATACACACGGAGGTATAGGTCCTCGTCGAGATAATAACCTAGTGGTTTTACACCTGTATAGTAAAAACCCGCAACTAACAACCTGGTTTTTAAGAACCTGTAAGGCTAAAATTTGCCAGTTAGGCGCCCTCTATACGAGAACCTGTTTAGCCTAAAAGCGACTAAAATTTGAAACGAGTCGTTATTTTCTAAAAATCTATAAACAAAAATTCTGTACACTTGGGCAAATAAGATAAGTCAACATTCCGAATGTTGTTTGGAGACATAGGTACCTTTTGACTCTAATTACTATGTAATGTATACAGGTTTTATATAAGGAATGAGCTGAATATCGCTAAATACTCTAAGTTACACTATATTTTTTTTTCTCCAGAAAATAAGAACCTTTTTAAGAATTGAAGTAGCCTAAAGTTGTGGTAGTTACCATTTATGTAAGAACTTGTTTTGGCTAACTTGAGAAAATGCAGGTTCTTAGTCGAGGGTCGAGGGTGTAGGTCACCAAAATGCATGACCCTGAGATTCCTAGGGAAAATACAATACCGTACAGAGACAAGACTAAAAAGGTTAAAAGTTAATTTTAGAAGTTGTGTAGGAGTTGTCTGTACGAATTGCTTTTATTTTAACAGGGGGTAGGCACATTCCACCAAACTATGAAGAAAATGTACCTTTACAAAGACTTGGTTCTCGCCGGGATGTGGCAGACGCTACACTGTTTCTAGCCAGCGGTGCTTCAGCTTACGTCACATCTAATACCTTAATAGTGGATGGCGGCAGCTGGATGACAGTTCCTGTTTCTTTGAAAATGATGAAGTCGATGAAGGCGATCAGCAAGCTGTGAATCCACAACCATAAGACTGAATAACGAAACCGAAACAATATGATGTATTATTTGTTTGAAGTAAAGATAGAGGGTGAATTTTCAGTTCAGTGTATGGATGTGAAAGATAAGATAATCAGCTTGTCACGAGGATGGTAAAGTCCCCGACAGGTTTCCGACCTATGACCTCCAGAACATTAGGCGGGCGCCCAACCTATCCACTGAGCTATGTACGTGGAGAGTAAGGCCATTTACTAAGTTCATATTTTACACGCGTCCTGCATACTGTAAGGATCAACAATTCCGGTGGGGTACTGTATCCTATGCACACTCCTCCCAAAAAGAACAAGACCTCCATAAAGGCCGATTTAGACGGCACGATATTTGCTTACGACTATCGTGTGCGACTAGCATGCGCCACTATTTGACGACAGATCGTGTAGTGTAAATTAGACCCACGATATTAGTACGACACATTGTAGATGTCGTAAGTGTAAATTGTGCACGTGTGGATAGTCGAAGGTCATGACGTTTGCTAGTCACGCACGATAGTCGTAAGCAAAAATCGTACCGTCTAAATGAGGCTCCATTGGTCTGCCGTACGTGGCAATTTGTTTGTAACTTCTACCAGTGAACAAAAATAGGCAAGTTAGCCTTTGGAAAAACGAAACGATTGGCATTCTATCTGCCCCCGAAAAGATATCGCAACAGTATAATGTGTTTAGTTTGATCTAGCCTCGTTCTACGCTTTTAAAACGTGACAGGGTCAACTTTTAATAGCTTTTGCGGATAAAATTAAATTTAAGTTTTGTTTCTGTTTGGTGTTGCATTAAAAATCCATCCTGACTATCCAGATGAATGTTTCTGTTTGACAGGGCGATCTACAAATGACACGTCCTTTCTTGTACGGAGTGACTTTTGGAAGAAAGCACTTATTAAATGGACCATTTTGAAGAAGGCATTGAAAAAAGCGCCATACGATAGCTTCAGAGACATCTTCATTTAATGGATACAGTCGACTCCCTCTTTGACTCTCTATAAGACGGACATCTCTCTAAAACGGACACTAAGTGCCGGTCACAGGAAAAAATAACAGATTCCCAATATTGGATATTTTAGGGCATTTGAAGAATACCCACAAAAATCCCAAATTTGGCGAAGTGAGACAAGTCCCAACCAGGGAATTCCCAACCAAGTTCCCTTGTTAGACTTGTCTCACTCTTCCAAATTTGGGATTTTTGTGGGTATTTTTTAAATACCCTAAAATATCCAAAAATGGGAATCTGTTATTTTTTCCCGTGGGTCCTAAAGGTGTCTGTCTCAGAGAGACACACACACCGACACTCAGGAGGATTAGCAAAGTTAAGGGGCGTTTTATAGTATAAAGTGCATAAAGAAGAAACAATAATAATCGCTGTTTATCCATCCGCACCAGTTGAGCCGTACTTCGATTATTGTAGCCTTGTGTAGGGTAATAGAGAGCTTTAGCAACGGCGACGGCGACATACGAGGGTCTAGAACCCCGTTTCAAAAGAATGCTGACTTTTTAGATCATTCTATTGTTAATGCAAGGAATGTGGACATTTTTTATTAATTAGTTTTAGTATGATTTTTAGCGGCGCGTGGCGCGTGGGCGGAGCCCCATAGCTAACGAAATGTGGTAATCTTCCCATCCGAGAAAATTTGGTAATCACGTGACCGTACACCGAGCGAGCGACCGTCCGTCCGCACCACAGGCATATCAATGTGAAATAACTCATTCAACAGGTGTGGCAACCCAAATGCAACTCAAGGTTTTATTTGGAAGGAAATCACATGGCCGCCCGGACTTTTAGAAAGAAAAAGCAACAACAAAGTAGTGTCTTTTCGGCGTTTTTTTTATGTTTACACGAACGTGGATAACAGAGAAAGAGCTAGAGCGAGTTAGTGAAAACAAAGGAGACGAATTTCATAGAAGAAAAACATGGAAATTCAAAGCGGCGGTGAGAAAATGAGAAATGTTAGCGGCCAGAAGGGTGAAAATGAGCGGCAGTGAAAAATAAAAGCGAACATGAACACAGGAAACAAAATATTGGGTAAGCACATACGACAATTCCTCCATAAAAATAATGTGTAACTAGGAAGTTTGACGTTTTAGTCGTACAAAACAGCGTTGTAGTCGTGCAAAACAACGAAAAGGGAAAGACAAAAAAGCGTGCTGCACGTGCAAATTTGTTTTTGGCTAATTAGAAGAAAAAGTGTGCTGCACGTGCAATTTGTTTTTTGCTAATTAGATCTATTAGTCTTGAAGCCATTTTCATTGTCGTCCCCGTTTAGCATTACACGATTTAATGTTTTTTGTTTACACGTATTATTAACCAGAGCTTCGCTTTTAAAACTGGCTAAATCTATATATTAGAGAAGTTTTAGTAGACAGTGTTTTTAATAGTTGTTTATAGTTTTTAGTAGACCTTGTATTTTTATTTAGGATATCTCTTTTAATACTGTAAAGTTTTTATCATTGTAATGACAGTAAAAGCCATTTTATTAATGTTCTAAAAGAAATGACTGAAAATACGTAATATAAATGTACCAGAAGTACACAGGTGTAGAGGGAACAGTAAACTCCTTCGTATAAGAAGATCACGAAAGCAGCGCGATAGATGCTGGCTTAAAATTATTTTTGTGCCCAATCATTGACACGCATTCAAATACAAGTCGTGGAACTGGTTTGTTCTAAAGAGTAGCATCCTAGGGGTTCTCTTGCCCGTTCTTGAAACTATAGTCACCATTATTCCTGACCCAACTGACCATCCCCGGGTCTCCGAGGATGGTTCAAACTAAGAACCTGCTCAAACTTCGCATTTCTTATGTCCTGAATCTAAGGCAAATGAGCAAGGGCAATAGATTTTCCTCATTAGCACTAACATTCGGGACATGTGAAATATGATGTTTGAGCCGGGCCCCGGACTTAAAATAGGAGCTGTCTCAAATTGTTTCTTGCAAACTATAGTTGATTTACACTGATTTACATGCTCTTTTAGAAAACAAAAATTTTACTGCTTCAAAATTTTTAAATTCCGTTGCTATAGTCAACGGAGTTTTGCCACTGAGGTCTTTTGAATCAATTTTAAGACCAAGTGATAACAGCTCGTTGATAATGGATGTATTTCCACCTTTTGCAGCACAGTGGAGCAGGCTGGATCCATCCTTATCTTTCAAAAAAGGATCAGCTCCGTTTTGTATCAACATCTGAAAAGCTCTTTGTTGAGGCCACTCAGCAGCATACATTAGAGGGGAGCCAAAAGAACTCATTGAGTTAACATCAAGACCAAGTGATAACAGCTTATCAATAATGGATGTATTTCCACCATTTGCAGCATGGTGGAGCAGATTGCTACCATCGTTTTCCTTCAAAAATGGATCAGCGCCATTCTGTATCAACATCTCAAAAGCATTTTGTTTGCCATGAGCAGCTGCACGCATTAGAGGTGTTTCACCTGGTAAGCTTCTTGAATTGATGTCAAGACCAAGAGATAACAGCCTGTTTATAATGGTTATATCTCCTCCTTGTGCAGCAAAGTGGAGCAGATTTTCCTCACCACTGCCTTTCAAAGATGGGTCTGCACCATTTTGTATCAGCATCTCAAAAGCACTTTGTTTACCATCAGCAGCTGCCCACATTAGTGGTGTGCGGTCAAAATGGCCATTCCTAGAATCAATGTCAAGACCAAGTGATAACAGCTTGTTGATAATGGATGGATTTCCACCATTGACAGCATAGTGGAGCAAACTAAACCCTTTGTCAGCTTTTAAAGAAGGATCAGCCCCTTTTTCTATCAACAGCTGAAAGGCACTTTGCTTGTCAAAAGCAGCTGCGTACATCAGTGGAGTGGCACCTTGTGTGTCCCTTGAATCAGTATCAAGACCAAGTGATAACAGCTTGATGATAATGGATGTATTTTGCCCTAGTGTAGCAAAGTGAAGTAGACCGTACCCATTGTTGGCTTTTAAACATGGATGAGCGCTGTTCTGTAACAACAACTGAAAAGCAAGTGGTTTGTCATTAAGAGCTGACAACATTAGTGGAGTTACACCATCCTTGTCCCTTGAATCTACATGACATCCTTGTGACACCAATACCTCAATGATTTCAATGTTTCCATTCTCTGCAGCAGCATGTAACACCTGAACATCTTGATCATCATATACAGCTTTGAAATGACTGTGCATGTCCTCTATATCAACTGGAACAGACTTTTCATGAATGGATGAGACACCTTGCCCCAAGAAGACAATAAAAAAATTATTATTTTCGAGTACGAATGTTAGAAAGAAATAGATTGCAAATTTAAAAAATGGGAATGGAGAATAGGAAAAAGAAAACAATGGAAACTGCTCATTATTTACACTCAGTGACACAAAATTATAAAGATAACATGGTTGATTGTTTTCTGTTTTTCACAGATGATCTACAGGGTGTCCCAAAAGTTCGTTCCTCTGCTTTACAAGTCTGTAATGCAGTACCACAAGATCATTCTCTCTTGAGTACGATTGGACTGCATAAGCAAATCTCTAAATAAAAGTTGTGTCTTTTCAATCTAATTTAATATTTTATATTTGTTGTGCCTTCTTTTGACTCGAATACCTTTGGTATTCTCGCGCACGAGTATATTTTCCTGCCACATTTTTTTTTTGGTATTTTGTAGCACAAATTGCCAGAATCCATTCCTTGTTTTTTGTGAATATCATGAAAGATAAACCTTCTTAAAATGTTCAGCTATGCTTATCAGTTAAAGAAACTGCTAAAAAAAACCTGAAAAAATCTGAATGTTGGATCTGGTAAAATGAAGGTTTTGAAGGCTGAAAAACAAAGGGGAAGACCAAAAGTCATGAATAAAGTAGCATTTTTTTTTTTTTTTTATAGTTACTTTACCGTTACAGTTCATAGTGTAATGTAATGTAATGTATTGTAATTTATTGTTATGTAATAGCATGCAATGTCATGTAATGTTAGTAAGTGTAATCAAATTGTGACGAGTGAAATTAGAGAATAATTTCACGCGCGTTTTGTCCAAATCCTTATAATTTCCCGAGCCTTTAGGTGAGGGAATTTATTAGGATTTGGACAAAACGCAAGTGAAATTATTCCCTAATTTCATGAGTATACCATTTGATTACCTATTAATATCATGGGTGACGAATTACGTTAGCAATCTTGGATTTTTGACATGTTTATCATGGATCGTATCGATCGAGAACTCCTGCGCTCTATCAAAGATTTAGAGCTTAAATTTGGTTTAGGTAAGTTCAGAGTTTCTCGACAAAATACCTGTTAGAATCCTTCTTGATGTGCTCTTTCGTGTATTCAAGTTTTCTAAAGCGTCTTTTTGTGCCCTGATATCTTCATTCATGACATTTTAAAACTTCATCACAATCTTGACACTGAGACGTACAGAAGGTTGCCATGGCAATTTTGTAATTTCACATGTGAAATTACAAATCAACGCTGAAATTTCGTGCCAAAATTAAGGAGTAATTTGTCACCTATGATATTAGTATTGTAACGCTGTGCAGTATTTAAAATATTTTGTAATAAAAGTTTGAAAAGTAAAAAATAAAATAAAATAAAATAGTTTCAAAGGGCTAGGTACAACAGAGGAAACTAGACGAGGTAACTCACACAACAGTTAGCAAGCTAAGTCTGGAACAGGTTCATAAAAAGCGAAGGTTGAAGGCCCCTGAGATGGCAAAAAAAAAGCTCTGCTCAGTCCGCCAAGCAACGTGCAGCTTGTGTCAAATTTGTAAAGAAGTCCAAAAGTCTCACAGTGGAAAGGCTTTTTTTGGATGAATGCCCAAAATATATATATTTTTTCAGCTGCCTAATCTGAAAAAAGGTATACTTGTTAGGGGGTTGAAATGGCTACTGCGTACCAGGTTATATTAAAAAAAAAGAGCTCAAAATGGATCATCTGGGGCTCTACATGCCACAGGTCTTATTCAACTCCATGACGCAATGTCTTTACGAAATGTGATAAACAAACAAACAAAGGAGGCACACCGGTAACTGAGCATCTGAATCTAGAGGGAATTATCACTTGTCTGAGTACATGTTCTTGATAGAGCAAATAAACATCTCTTTGAAATTTCATGTAAAAGTAAGATTATTAAAAGTTTTGATCAAAAGTTATAGCACATGAAATTAGAGGAACAAACTTTTGGGACACCCTGTAAAACTGTCTCATATCACATCAAAATTAAGAAAAAGAGGACTTTAGGAAACTGCCCGCCTACCCCTCCCCTTGCCCAATGTTAACACTAACTTCTTATTTAGGGCAAAATCTTGGGTTGTCTGGGGAGGGGTGGGTGGGAGCTTTGGTAGAATCTTCTACTGATTTAAAATCTTCTCATCTTCCAATGGAAAGGCCACAAGCATTACCCATATCTCTACAAAATGTAATCTTGTGTTTTGTCCCCATTATGAAAATGAAAATAAAGGAGATAAGGTCGTAAAAACATTTGTGACAAACGAAACTTATATACGTTCATTTGTATCTTGGGGTTTTTCTACTGGATACTTAACAATTATTCCTCGAACCCGAATGGGCTCTGAGTCATTGACTCAGAGGCCATGAGGGGGAGAGGAATTGAATTTATTGTTTTTGTAAAATGTGTAGTTCCAGAAAATATCCAGACCCCCACCATGGTGGGAATTTCACTTAGGACCCCCCCACCTCCCTGGATTTTCCATTTTTGCAGGGAACTGATGACCCCCCACCCCTTCGGAATTTCCACAAGTGTGACAAAGACCCCCCCAACCCCTCTGGAAAAATTCATTTCCACGAAGAAGGACTATTAAAGTAGAAGAATGAGGCAACTTATGGTTAGTACCCAACGGTTTCCATCAGAAGCTTGTATGTTTCTGTTTCCATTTATTTGAGTGATCTTGCAACATTAAAACACACTACACCGCCACAAAGCAACCTGATCTGTCATTTTTGCTCATCTCTTACTTTAAATAAAACAGAGAAAGTTAATAAGTCGGTTATATTTGTGAATTTACCTTAATCAGGGCAAGCTTACGATTTGTTATTCGTCTCATGGGCGTAATGTTGATAGAATTAACGCCATTTCGTGCGGGAATGCAGAACAAGTCAAACTTACGACCACAAAATTAATACAAAACAAAGAGGAGAATAAAAACTCTGAATTCTGAAATGATAACAATGAATACCCCCTGCATCTTGAAGGTACTTGAAGGGAAACCAAGTTCAATTTACTGTTTTTTGATCGACTGATGCGACGTGATGCGCGATGGCCGTATAAATGTTTGGTGAAATCGAGACCACTTCAGCGAGAATTCGATCATGAACATGCGACACGTTCAACCACAAAATTAAGGGAAAATGAAAAGGAGAATAAAAACTCAACATTCTAAAATGGTTACAATGCATAGCTTGTGCTTTGTGAAGCAAAATTGCCACTCTTCTGATCTATCAATCGACTGACGCAACATGATGTGTTACGTGATGTGTTGCACGCGTTGATGTTTTGAGGAAGACTGGTAAGGAGTAATGGCGGCCGAATATACGAGCATCCGATAAAACGAGTTGTAGTCGGTCTAATTCCTTTGAAATTACATCCAAAATGCTTTTGGAAGGCAGGAAACCTGGTTAAGATCAAAAGGAACAATCTTAAGTCATATATTTCAAGTTATTTATGTCCTAAGAATGATCTACCAGGTCGGTAAGAAGCAATGTTCAAACTCAGGTCAAAAACGAAATGATATTGCCCCCCTGGAAAGTGATTTTATGGTCCAACCCCCCTCCCTTCAGGAAATTCCTGGGCCTCTGACCCCCCCAACCCCCTGGAATTTCCAATTCCCTTCGTGGTGGGGGTCTGGATATTTTCTGGAACTACACAATCCAACTAGTTGGTCAAAAATATCTAGACAAAACAACTTTAGCTAGCAATACGCAATTTAGCCGCCACTGTTTTGGTTTTTTCAAAGCCGGTGCTTTTCGCTACTGGTGGGCTATAACATATAGCATAGTAGTAGCTCAACCAATCAGAACACAGCATTGATAATAGACCACTAGTTGGACTTAACTAATTAACAGTTATTCCTCAAGCCCGAATGGGCTCTTAGTCAATGGCCCACGAGGCCGAAGGCCGAATGGGCTATTGACTCAGAGGCCATGAGGGCGAGAGGAATATTGTTTAAGTAAAATCCAACTAGTTGGTCAAAAATATAAAGACAAAACAACTTTAGGTAGCAAAACGCAATTCAGCCGCCCTTGTTTTGGTTTTCAAAGCCGGCGTTTTTTCACTACTAGTAGGCTATAACATATAGCCTAGTAACAGGTTGACCAATCAGAATGCAGCATTGATAATAGACAACTAGTTGGATTTTACCAATATGTAATAGCCCTCCATTGTGAAAATGCAGAGTCAATGGCATGGAACATTTTTACCTTTGTTACGTTCACCACAGCAACTATCACCCATCATCCTGAAAATGATCTCTTTGAAATTCTCACACTGTGTGTCCCAAGGGAATGCCTTATTGTAGCTTTCTCTGAGTTTCATAGCAGTGTCGAGTCTCTCTGTCAACGTCATCTCGGAAAGAGTTCTGATTTTTTGGGACCACTCTTCCAGATCCTCTGATTCAACGATCACAGAGGTTCCATTGTAAACTTGTTCTAGAACTCTGGCTATTCCAGATTCGCTGGTAAGAAGAACAGGAACACCATCAGAAATGGCTTCTAAGGCGATCAAACCAAATCCTTCGGTACGAGAAGGCATAGCAACCAAATCTGCTGCATAGAACATCTCTTTCACTTCATCTTGATTACAATAACCACGTACCGTTAACTGCCTCCTTGTTATACTTGTATTTTGTAGAAACCAGTCCATTATATTACTATGTTGGCCTTCAGGTGAACCAACAAATGTCATCTTAAACTTTACTCCAAGAGAACCCAACACATTGGCAATGATATCATAGCCCTTAAGTGGCAGATCTTCATAAGATCCTCTCCCAAAGACAAAGACACTGAACTCGTCAGAACTATGCGAAGCATTAGCAAGTTTTTGATCAGAAAGACCAACGAACTTATCCAAAATTCCAGGCGTGATGATGTGAACTTTTGTGTCTGGGAGACATCTGCTGTACTTTTGCTGTAGTCGTGAACCAACAGCGACCACGGTGTTTGCAGCTTTGCAGAGATTGATTTCCTGTTTATGCTTTTTCTCCTTCTCCTCCACTGCATCTGTTTGAGTGTTAGTATCAGTTTGTTTGTACTTTCCAAGGTCTTCGCAAAATACATGTACAAACTGTACCCATTTGCACTTTGTAATTTGTGTAATGAAATAAGCAGGAGTGCCAAACTTTCGTCCATGGCCGATCACAACATCAGGATGTGGAAGCTCCGAGGGAGGAAGTCTCAGCCATTCCAGGCCGTCACTAATCCCTAGTATATTCTTTGCTGTTATTATATTCACACCATTATTTCTGGCATCTTCTCTGTCTGATTCACTGCTCTGACAGACATAGCAGTGAATAGCCAAGTCATCCTTTGATACTTTAGCAAGATTGATTGCAAATTCTCTGTTGAAAGTGGACAAACCACCCTTACTGGAGTTCCACTCATCACAAACAAACAATATGTTAACAAGCTTCGACTTTTCTCTATCTGATGCGTCTGATGTGCTTGGTAAATTAGGAAAAGCTTCATTAAATGCTCTCTTCATGACTGGCAACCCTCAGAAATTGCACTCCTCCAACGATGGAATACGTATGTAATCTCAGACGCCGTGACAGTCACGTGGAAACCAAGAATAGTGGTCGGGGCGTCGAGCCCGGTCGGGCCTCGGTCGGACCTAGTGGTCGTAAATGCGGAGTACTGTGGGGGGAGGTTATGTCACCCGTAGTCCGCCAAATTTCAAGCAACGACGACAAACTTTGCCCCAAAATAGCAGGGGCACCCAACGACAATTTTCGGAAAATATCTGTTCGGAAGACGATTTGAGATCTAGAATTTTCGGAACATTTTTTTCCAAAATTTCTTGCTTGTCTTCTTCTCCTAGGATTTTCGAACATCTAAAAAATGTTATAACTGCCCATTTTTAACCGATTTTTACCTTAAAGGGTCACCTACAATTTTCGGGAGCCTTTTTTCTGGCTGAAATTTTCGAAAAGGTAAGTTTTGATCCTTATAATTTACGAATCACTAGACTTTCAGCTGGGAAATCCCAACAGATGAAAAATTTTAGGGGATAAAAATATGCCTATATCTAACGTTTTAATACTAAAATACGTTTAACAATGCTATGTTTAAGTGGTTTTGAACTATATTCTCGTTGGGTGCCCCTGAAATAGGATTCGTGCTGTTTCAAATTTTATTCCAGCTCTTCTAGTTTTTCATGATCTTTCAAAGGTTGGTGATTTTTTCAAAAGTTGAATTCTAATAGGACTACAAAAGAAAAAGAAAATCGTTGTCTTGTCTTCATCCTTGGGCATTGATTTCATAACCTCTAAGATACCGGTCAGTAAGCAGCGAAGCGTGAGATTTTGAAGGTGCACGCAGGGGAAGAAAAGTTAGCGCGCCGAAGGCGCCCCAAACCTTCGTTTTCTGCAGGACATTTTCAGTAAATGAAGACGAAGGAAAATGCAATAATTAGTTGTTTATTTTACCCATCTCTAGTGTTATCGTTAAGGTACATAGTTTACGGCAAAAAAGGGTAAAACAGTGACGCCATAAAGGAGATTACAAGCAAACGGCGAGATGTGTACCTTTCAGACAGGCAAATGCTGTTATAATGCCATCAATATCAATTACGGCCTTGTTAGACTATGTGCACATACGCAGAATTGCAAATGAGGTCAATCTCTCATCTTTCATGGTCCTTCGTAAAGGAGTTTGCAGTCTCTTCATTCCGATAAAGCAACGCTCAGCAGTGCGTGTTGACACAGGAAAAGTCAAAAAAGTTATGAGAGCTACATATTCTCCGGGATAGAATTGGAGTTGGCTTGGTCAAAAGTCTCAACCAAGGTTTGTTGCTTCACATTCGGATCCATTTCACTCCACTTATTTAGTAAAAGGATAAAGAAAATCCTAACACAAAAGCACCAATATAATGCGAAATATTGTCCCGATTTAATGATTAAAAATGCTTTCAGGAAATAAAAAATGATCTAAGTTTTTTACCAGATTTCAGCTGTATGCATAGGCGTATGTGCGTACATGCACACTACATTCGTGGTAGGAGAAATAGCTGCCCGAAGCTTTATACGGGTATCATTTTGTTCAAACATTAACCACAAAGGACAATCCCGCTCTATTTTGAGTTCTTTCGGTGTCGTGTTGATGTCTTGCAGAGTTAATTTTCACGTAGTACGATCAGCATTGCAGTATTCTGCATGCAGAATTTAATATGTCTATCATTTTGTTGCTGACAAAGAACAGCCAAAGCGTACTTTTTTGTCTACTTCTGATGGAAACGTGTATTTGCTTCAATCATAATATAGTTTGACAACATTTACATAGAAGGCCAGTCCTGTGTCTTAATATTTCGACCCCCCCCCCCTCACATTTTGTGCATTTTCCAAATCAAGCGTCTTAGGTTGCGTTCACACTTAGTGCCAGGGCACTAGAGCCCATGCACGGGCACAGAATGGTGTTTTGTCCTTTAAACTTTGTCCACACTCTGGGTACCCAGGTTGTCTTTCGTCCAATTTGCTCAGTCAGCTGATGCCATTTTTGCAAAAGGCGTAGCAAGGAGTTATGGGTATGCGAAGAAGTTGATTGTGGGTAAAACTCCTCGGAACCAACGAAAAACACGTGCACACAGAGACCCGGTGCCCACTTTAGTGCCCGAGTACAAGGTCTCGACCTTGTACTCGGGCACCGGCACTGTGCCCGGATTCTAGCCCGGGTACTTAAAAAAAGGTGTGTTCACATTAGTGCCCATCGAGGACCGTACTCGGGCACCGGTGCCCGGGCACCAAGTGTGAACGCACCCTTAGAAAATTGTACCCTCCCCCGGGACGATAAGGGATTGGTCCCTTATCTCCCAATATGCTGAGTTTTTCCGAGCTGTTTGATGATATTTCGCTTGTGTTAAACATCAGAAGATTATGCGTGGTTGTGGATAGCCTTATCAGTGCTGCGAAAGTGTGTGATTATGTGATTTCCGCCTGGTGTACGTTGACAGGTATGTGGCTGCGTGGAACATTTATCCGTGAAGTTTCAAACTGGTGTCATTTCAGTCTAGAAATTTTAAAGTTGACTGAACCACAGCGAAAAGGTGCCTGATTAAGGCTTACATAACAACTTAAATAGTCAGCAAAACACTACTTTTTTCGCGGTCCGATAAACGACAGGGTTTCGCATGGAATAGATAAAAAACAGAATGAAACAAAGTACACCTTCTTATGTGCAAAAACCAACCTTTTGGTTCAAAGCCATTAGAGCCCGCCGAAACTAAACCTACAATCGGCGACAAAATGAGTTGACTGTGAAGCGGGTTTTGACCCGAAAAAATGCAAAATAATTGAAGTTTTCCTCCTTTATATCGAAAGGAGGGGGTAGGGGAGGCACGTTACAACACGGGAACAAGTAGCTACCTATAGAAAACAACAAACACACGTGAACACCCCAACTTTGAATGGAGGGGGCAGGGGAGGGGTGCGGATTCTTTTGTTCTCCGAAGTTACCCTATTTAAGTACAATGTCTCAACAATTTTGTCGCCGATTGTAGATTCAATTTTCTTGAGTCGAGAGTTGCTTTTCCAAGGTACAATCAGCTAACCTAAACACCAAAGAAACGTTTTTATGGCTGACTTTACACACAACGACACACTCAGATTTGCAATCACGTAAGTTAAGGGGCACTTTATAGTATAAAGTGCACAAAGAAGAAACAATAATAATCGCTGTTTATCCATCCGCACCAGTTGAGCCGTACTTCGATTATTGTAGCCTTTTGTGGGGTAATAGAGAGCTTAAGCAACGGCGACGGCGACAGCAACGAAGAAGTTCAAAAAGAAATAGGGTTGTTGAGCAAATCGACAACTCTGCAAGTGCGTCACGTTTTTTTTGGACATTTCTTTGCCGCCCCTGCCCAACTGCGACGTCTAATTTCATTTTTTTTCACTTTAAGAGTGACGTTTTTGCTGCTGTCGCCGTCGTCGATACTAAAGCTCCCTATTTGCTCAAAAACGCGTGCAGATCAATCGCAGAAACTTCAAAACTGGCAGAGCAGCACTCATTTAAAAAGTGGACAATTCTGTAAGATCATGAAAAGAGCTATGTTGGCCAACGCTGCACGATAAGTGGAAAATGCAAGTGAATATTGTTTAAACTATCACGCGGCTGTACCTCAGCTTTATCGGCTGGCCTGTAACGATAGTTTTAAAACATTGTAATATAGGTAGTATTAATTCATAGAACTTTTCACATGGCTAATTTGAAATTTTGTATTTTGAAATTTTGTACCACCGTGTATAAAATAAATCCATTTCATTTCAACATCTTCAAACATACAATAAAAGAAATGAGAGAAGAAATGAAAGAAATTTGGCTACCTACTAGTCAATGGCCTCAAAAGTTGGCTGATAGTAAAGACACAAGATTTAGTAGACGAGGCCGAGTTAGTGTTTGGAGAGGAGGTCAGAATAACAACGGAACGTCAACGACACCTGGGGGCAGTTATTTGATTCCAGGAACATAAAGACCAATATTGTAGTGGAAAAGTCCAGGGTTGGAGGGAAAACATCGAGTTGCCGGTCGAAATCGCAAAGAGTCAACCCCATGCCGCCAACATTGCCTTCACAGAGGGCTACAAATCGAAATTTACATAGCTATAAAGGTCCCGAAGACTATGTGGAATCAGTTGATTAAGCGATCAACGATATTTTCCTTCCAGTTCTTTTTGGTCAGACGGAACAACTCCCTGAAGAGTTGCGAGAACTATTCACCCTACCCCCAGCACAAGGGGGTCTGGATATACCAGACATGAAAGCTGAAGCCCCACAGCAATACGCTGCCTCAAAGTTAATAATAGCACCACATGTAGCAGCTATATGTACGCGGAGCACCTTAATGCCAGTGGGTTAGCAAACTATGGAAGACCTGAAACGACAACAGCAGCCCCTCAAGACGAAAGCAGCGACTCTGAGAAGAAAGGCTATTGATGCATCTCTCTCACCGGACTTGCTAAAGGCAACAATGTAGGTCAGAGACAAAGGTGCAAGTTCATGGCTCAACGCCGTACCCCTTGAGGAGCAGGACCTGACACTGAATACGGTCAATAAGCAACAATTCAGGGACTCGCTACGCATGCTTTACATTCTTCCTCTAGCGGACTTGCCGAACCATTGCGCAGCTAAAACGTAAGCTACATCAACTATGGAGAATTGCGATGTGACTCAGTCATGATTGCTCTTAAAAAAAATGAATTTTGATCTCCAGCTTGTTTTTCTATTAATGAGGGTCTCTGGACTGGAGAGCGTAGTTCCTCCCTTGGTGATAACTTTTGAATTATCTTAACAGTATTGCGACTGTTCTATTATTACCACTTTGTGATCAGGCAAGACCATGGTTTCGGTTCTTCACGCGAACCTCATCAGTTGCCGAGTTGGCTTTATGCTTAGTTGCTTTAACAAGAGCAACTCTAGTTACTTGTTCTGTGCTGTGGCGAGAACGGTAAGCCGTTCTGTCTAGTTTAGCTTTGACCTTGTACATACGTACTCGCATGGGGGATCGAAAATTCTATCTTTCTTATTGGCTACTGAGCGCAACCAATTACGGAGGGTGCATTTCAATCCTCTTCTGCTTGAAGCTTGAACGATGTTTTTTCGGAACCCATTTTGTGAAAATTCAGCACTTTCATTTGTAAAAGAGTTAGAGGAGCTTTGTAATTAAGTGCGCACAAAGATTCCGTACACTCCCTCTAAAATTAAGGCAGAGGGGACGTCTGTACACAGGCTATATCTTGGCTTAGAACAACCATATCTTTTGAAATTTTAAGATCGGCCCACATATGTGTACCAGGGTCTAGAATCCCTTTTCACAAGAATGCTGACTTTTTTTAGATGATTTTAGTGTCAATGCAAGGAATGCGGACATTTTGTTATTAATTAGTTTTAGTATGATTCTTAGAGTAGTTTTAGTAGACAGTGTTTTTATCAGTTGGTTATAGTTTTTAGTAGACCTTGTATTTTTATTTAGGATATCTCTTTTATTACTGTAAATTTTTTATCACTGTAATGACAGTAAAAGCCATTTTATTAATGTTATAAAAGAAATGACTGAAAACACGTAATATAAATGTACCAGAAGTACACAGGTGAAGAGGGAACAGTAAACGCCTTCGTATAAGAAGATACGAAAGCAGGGCGATAGATGCTGGCCTAACATTATTTTTGTGCCCAATCCCCGAAAAACATTTGAATAAGTCGTGGAACTGGTTTGTTCTAAAGAGTGGCATCCCAGGGGGTTCTCTTGCCCGTTCTTGAAAACTATCGTCACCATTATTCCTGACCCAACTGACCACCCCCGGGACTCCGAGGATGGTTAAAACTAAAAACCAGCTCAAACTATGTCCCGAATCTAAGGCAAATGAGCAAGAGCAATAGATTTTTCTCATTAGCACTAAAATTCAGCACACGTGAAATACGACATTTGAGCCGGGCCCCAGACTTAAAATAAGAACTATCTCAAATTGTTTCTTGCAAACTATAGTTGATTTACACTGATTTACATGCTCTTTTAGAAAGCAAAAATTTTACTGCTTCAAAATTTTTAAATTCCGTTGCTATAGTCAACGGAGTTTTGCCACTGAGGTCTTTTGAATCAATTTCAAGACCAAGTGATAACAGCTCGTTGATAATGGATGTATTTCCACCTTTTGCAGCACAGTGGAGCAGGCTTGATCCATCCTTATCTTTCAAAAAAGGATCAGCACCCTTTTGTATCAACATCTGAAAAGCTCTTTGTTGAGGCCACTCAGCAGCACGCATTAGAGGGGAGGAGCCATAAGAATCCCTTGAGTCAACATCAAGACCAAGTGATAACAGCTTATCAATAATGGATGTATTTCCACCGTTTGCAGCATGGTGGAGCAGACTGCTACCATCGTTGTCTTTCAAAAATGGATCAGCGCTATTCTTTACCAACATCTCAAAAACACTTTGTTTGCCATCAGCAGCTGCATGCATTAGAGGCGTTTCATCTTGTAAGCTTCTTGAATTGATGTCAAGACCAAGAGATAACAGCTTGTTTATAATGGTTATATCTCCTCCTTGTGCAGCAAAGTGGAGCAGATTTTGATGAAAATAGTCTTTCAAAGATATATCTGCACCATTTTGTATCAGCATTTCAAAAGCACTTTGTTTACCATCAGCAGCTGCACACATTAGTGGTGTGCGGTTAAAAGCACCACTCCTAGAATCAATGTCAAGACCAAGTGATGACAGCTTGTTGATAATGGATGTATTTCCACCCTGGACAGCACAGTGGAGCAGACTCAACTCTTTGTCAGCTTTTAAAGAAGGATCAGCACCGTTTTCTATCAACAGCTGAAAAGCACTTTGCTTGTCAAAAGCAGCTGCGAACATCAGTGCAGTGGTACCTTGTGTGCCCCTTGAATCAATGTCAACACCAAGTGATAACAGGTTTTTGATAATGGATGTATTACCACCTTTTGCAGCATAGTGGAGCGGACTCAACCCATAGTTGTCTTTCAACGATGGATCAGCACTGTTCTGTAACAACAACTGAAAAGCATTTGGTTCGTCATGATTAGCTGCCATCATTAGTGGAGTTAGACCTTCCCTGCTCCTTGAATCTACGAGGCATCCTTGTGACACCAATAACTCGATGATTTCAATTTCTCCGTGTTTTGCAGCAGCATGTAACACACCAACATCTTGATCATCATTTACGGCTTTGAAATCACGGTAAATGTTTTCTATATTAACTGGAACAGACTTCTCATGAATGGATGAGACACCTTTCCCTAAGAAGATAATTATTTTGGAATATGAAAGTCAGAAAGAAACAGATTGCATATTTAAAAATGGGAAATGGAGAATTGGAAAAAGAAAACAATGATCATTATTTACGCACAATAAAACAATGATGTGGTTGATTGTTACCTATTTTTCAGAGATGGTCTTATATTAGAAAAGGAAGATTTGGGAAAACTACCAGCCTACCCCTCCCCTTACCCAATGTTAACACTTCTCATTTAGGGCAAAATCTTGGGTTGTTTGGGAAGGGATGGGTGGGAGGTTGGTAGAATCTTCTACTGATTTAAAATCTTTGCACCTTCCATGTTTTGTTCCCATTATGAAAATGAAAGTAAAGGAGACAAGTTGTAAAAATAGTCGTAATCTCTAAAACGAATCTTATTCTGGGCATGAAAATAATATGCATTTAAGTGTAATCTTGTGGCTTTTCTACCGGATACTACGTAATAACCCTCTATCATGAAAATGAAGAGCCAATAACATGGACCATATTTTACCTTCATCACTTTCAGCACAGCAGTTGTCACTCATCATCCTCAAAATGATCTCTTTAAAATTCTCACACTGGGTGTCCCAAGGGAATGCCTTGTTGTAGCTTTCTCTGAGATTAATAGACATGTTAAGTCTCTCTTTCGACTTCATCTCGGAAAGAGTTCTGATTCTTTGAGACCACTCTTCCGGATCTTCTGATTTAATGATAACAGACTTTCCACCGTCCACTTGCTCCAACGCTTTAGCTATTCCAGATTCACTGGTAAGAAGAACAGGGACATCAGCAGAAATGGCTTCCAGAGCAATCAGACCAAAGCCTTCCGTACGAGAAGGCATAGCAACCAAGTCTGCTTCATAGAACATTTTTTTCACTTCATCTTGATTGCAGAAACCACGAACTGTTAACTGCCTCTTTGTTATTCTTGTATTTTGTAGGAACCAGTCCATTATATTTCTATGTTGGCCTTCAGGTGAACCAACAAATGTCATCTTATACTTCTCCCCAAGAGAACCTAATGCATTGGCAATAATATCAAAGCCCTTGAGTGACAGATCTTCGTAAGATCCTCTCCCAAAGACAAAGACACTGAACTCGTCAGGACTATGTGAAATATTGGCAAGTATTTGATCTGAAAGGTTGACGAATTTATCCAAAATTCCAGGAGTGATAATGTGAACTTTCGTGACTGGGAGACATCTGCTGTACTTTTGCTGTAATAGTGAGCCAACAGCGACCACGGTGTTTGCAGCCTCGCAAAGTCTGATTTCCTGTTTATGCTTCTTCTCATTCTCCTCCACTGCATCTGTTTGAGTGTTAGTATCAGTTTGCTTGTACTTTCCAAGGTCTTCGCAAAATACATGCACAAACTGTATCCATTTGCACTTGGTATTTTGTACAATGCAATAAGCAAAGGTGCCAAACTTTCGTCCATGGCCGATAACAACATCAGGATGTGGGAGCTCCGAAGGAGCAAGTCTCAGCCATTCCAGATGGTCATGAGTTCCCGGCACACTTTTTGCTGTTATTAAATTCACGCCATTTTTCCCAGCATCTTCTCTGTCTGATTCACTACTCTGAGAGACGAAACAGTGAATAACAAAGTCATCCCTTGATGCTTTAGCAAGATTGATTGCAAATTCTCTGTTGAAAGTAGACAAACCGCCCTTACTGGAGTTCCACTCATCACAAACAAACAATATGTTAACAAGCTTTGACTTTTTTCTATCTGGTGACTCCGATGTGCTTGGTAAATTAGGACAATCTTCTTGAAACGCTCTCTTCATGACCAACAACCGTCTGAAAAAGTGAGGTTTGCGAACTTCTGTTTTTAACACTAATACAATATCTCAATCCTTCGTCATGATGTATGCGTCATTGACCAAGCATAAGCTCAAGATGGCTTGATATTGCGCGACTTCTTCTTTTTTTGCGTCATTATGGGCAGAGCCCAATATCCAGCCATTTTGACCGAACAAGCTTAGTCAGAAATGGCCATATGTACGGCCAAAAAGGGCACTTTTTTGCGGGACCAACGCAGAAAACCTGAGCGGGCAAGATAAGCCCATATTCATTGCCCGAGGGTGGCCAATCAGAAGATTGTAGTCGCATTATCTTGCCCGCTCGCGGATTCAGCTATATAATAAATACGCGTACTTACAAACAGTATTTCGAGCACATTTTGTCCGGTTTGGCCTGATATAGATCATAAAACCCCTCCACGAGCCTCAAAAGACGTTTTTGGGCGAAATTTCAGGGAGAGAATGACGGAGTTAAGATAACGTTAGTGTTATGGGGTTCTAATGACAAAGAGGGCACTAAAACATTTCCCTTACAGTTACGGAGGGTATTGGTGCTGATAGATGATTACTCTCAAAAGCAGTGGAAAAACCTACTCAACAGCAGTAATAAGACAATAATTTACCGGACGAAGAATGCCTTATTTCTCATGACCGCTTTTGAATGCTTTTCAACAGCCTTCTCGAGCAACTCATCGGTAAATCCGGGGACTTTTGGGGTCTTTTAAGTGGAAAATTTGCAGGAGCAACGGAACGTCTAAAAAAGAAGCCCTCTTTTCCTGGTTGGACTATCCCAAAGGGAAATTCGTGTTCCAGAATTCTTCAAATCAAGAGTGAATTCAAATCCATTTTTTAATCCAGTCTGCTAAGGCCTTTGCAGCCTTTTGTGTAACTGGTACTGATTTGTGAAATTCTCGAGCAAAATTTATCAGTCCTGAGTTTTGCTGACCATTTTCCTCTAATCCTAGGCACAAAGAATGCGACAACCACGCACATATATATGACGAAATCATCTTTATTGTTCGTCGGAAGAAGCAAAGCTGCATCAAGGGGGGAGGCAAGGCCGAGGCCGTTCCCTCCCCTCCCCCGATGCGGCCAGCCCAAACCGTCAGACAACAAATAAAATAAAAAAGAAAAAAAGTGAAATGTCAGAGGAGGAATTATGGAGACAGTTAAACAATGTTCTGCGCGATTAAATAGGCCATGGAGATGCGCCGCTCTAAAGGTATCGCGATGTAGAGAAGGAGAGCATTGGAAGACCAGTCCCCTTTTAGACTGATTAGCTCAACGGGGGCGCCACAAAGAAGAGCGTATGTAGCCCCTCCACGACAAAAACTGTGGCCAGAGTATTGTGTGGGCTTCAGGCCGGCGGAACAGAGAGAACAGCGTAATTTTGGGGGTGAAGACTGCGTGCGTTATTGGGCTTGTACGAGCTCCCTTGGAGTACAGAAAGGCAGGCGGGGAGGGTGGGGCGGGGAAAAGACCGACATGGCGCTCATAACCTTGCAGGGACATAGCAGATGACCAGGCGGAAGGCGACCAATAGGGGTGAGAAGTTTACGTTCCTTGAACTGAATGGTCTTGAACCAACGAACACAGATGGCCAAACCCGAAAGGCCAACTAGAATGTCCTGGCATGACCCGGACAGAGAATTTATTCTTGATGGCCTTTGATTTATTCTTGAAATGGTTTCAACCTTATTTCAGAATCTGACCCTTCTTGTGTTGACAGCTACGATAATGATAATTATGTTAGTGCTACGTGTCTCTGTCCGGGTCATGCAAAAGTTCTTTTTCCCAAGCATGAAATTTTTAAGGGCAATCCTCAAACGGGGATAAGTTAGCAAAAGAGGAGTCTTCAAGCGGAAAAGAATCATGTTCACTAACTGTGCATGTAGGGAGTCATTTGTCTGATTTTTTGCTAGAGCTAGCGACGCTAGTGCAAACTTTGCCTGTTTGGGTTGTGAAAAATGAATACAAAACGTGCTTGAACCGACAAGACTGTCTGTTGGAGCAACTGTAAGGACTAAAATTCCAACGGAAGCAAAACTCCTGGTTCGTAAAAATGCGACCATCATTAGCAAGAAAGGAGGAAGATGGCGTCGACTGCTACATCGAAATACTGGGCGCTAAAAGTCATACGCGTTATCCAGCTAAAGTTGTCCAGTGATTTGGTGGCACGTTAATCTTGATCAAACGCTAGGATGGCACGGGTTTGAAATCTAGTTTCCTTGATGGCCAAAAACGTCAGGTAACCGATGTAATCCTGGCCTCGGAGGAATTTTTGGACATAATAGACTCAAGGATCTTAAAGTTTCCCGGCATGAATTGCGCAAAAGTCAACTGGAGAGGTTTAGATGCTTCCCATAAGGGCCAAAAATATGATCGGAAGGTAACGGTGGCTTACCTTCTGACGCATTAGAGCCATTTGAAGAACGCCAAGCCATTGTTGTGGTTGCTTGTTCGGTCGATTGGTCTAACTGTTTATTCGAGGGAGCGGCTGCCTTTGGATCGCAAAACTCGGCGTCGATTTTGGCGAGCTCGTCGTCCAGCTTAAAGGGAGCAAGCGATAAAGGCTGCGAGACATCCTTTAAGGTATCAGCCACCCTTAAAATTGCCATTTTTCCATAATTGAGGTTTCAACGTTTTCAAATAGATATGCTTGAGAGCTTTTTAAAAAAAAAATCAGAAGAAAATATTATTTCTGTCCAAAGATATCGGGGGTAAAAGATTTTTTCTTGTTAAGTATCTTAATTGATCGTTGACAAGATCTGTCATACCCGTGTCATATATCAATTAACTTGCCTGAGAACGAGTGCTTGCTTCGACACAACACGTGCGAATTGTCTTCGCGTTGTTTATAGCCTTTAGTATTTTCCGTGGATATTTAGCGTTTGCTTCGGTGAAAATGCCGCCAAAAAAAGAGAAAAGGTCGTGTCCGTTTTCGTCATCGAAACCGAGAGCGAAAAAGAAATCGAAGAGCAAGTTTGACAAAGAATGAGCCGTAAAATTGGCAGAGAACGACAAAGGCTCATTTTATCAGCAAGAGAAGTGGCTCGAGGAGTTGGATATTCAGAAAAGCAAAAATGCTGCAGTTGCTGAGAGTGCAAGCCGCTCCAAAATCCAGCTTGAAGAGCCAGATGAAGAAAGCCAGTTAAGCTCATCGACCCCATCTACTGATGGAACGTTAGCCTGCGTGGCAGGCACAAAAAGGGGAGGGGGAGGGGGGAGGGAGAAAGGGAAAAGGGAAGGGAGCGCCTGCTCTAAGAGCCTATGTTTTTGCATAACGCCTACCAATTTTCTAGTAATCCGATTACGCTTACTGTCAATCAAGTGTCGCTACACTCGCCATAGGAGAAAAACATTACACTCACGGACTAAAGAAATTCGCTTAGTTATTCAGATCCAGAAGGCACTTTGGAGAAAACTGGAATCCTTATTCAGCCGTAATAAAAAAAGTTTTACGCTTCAAAAGAGGTCAAAGAAATTGCGCTTGCATCAGAGGGCAAATCCTGCCGACCAGAAAACAATAACTACAGTCAATCTTTATGTATGTCATGACCTCTCAGTGTGAAACATGCGACTAAAATAACATTTGCTCAGTATAAATGCAGAACCTTCCAGAGCATAATCTACCCAGCAGATAAAAACAACTTTATTGGAATAGGCAGCATTTTGGCATGAGGTAAAACCACCCTCTTTTATTGCTAAGTTACATCGGCGAATGTCATCGTTCGATAAATTGGCTAAATCTTTCGCTGGGTAGCCGAAAAATTCCATCTCCTGCAATTGGTCTTCGATAATAGTTTTCAGTGGCGAAATGACGAGAATCGCCGCATTACCATTTAGCTCGTAGTTCTTCGCGCGTACAAACATTTGGTAAATTAAACTCTTGCCGTATCCGGTCCGCAAAACCGCCAGAACATCTCTGTCGGCTAAAAGAGCCCTTACTGCTGATTCTTGCTCTGGTTTTAAAACAGTTTCTCTACCACTAGATAAATTCACATCTCTCAAAGCACTCTCTATGACATCCACGTCTACCGCTGCCATCTCGACTGTTTGTTGATTTGTGAAACGCGCATTTCAATATGTTGCTCATTACGGCTCAGCCAATCAGGAATTTGCGGACGCCAGCGTCCGCAGATATGAACAAAAGGGGGTTCTTAGAGCAGGCGTCCCCTCCCCCTCTCCCCAATCCCCCTCCCTTTTTTCCCTTCCTTCCTATGCCCTACCCCCTACCCTTTTCGACGCCTGCTACGCAGGCTAATGGAACGTGGAAAACAATAAGCGGTCGAGCTATCGTATCGACCGAAAAGCTGCTTGAGAAACTGGTCGAGTCTGTATCTTGTCGATTTTGCCAGGGAAGAGTCCAAGTCATGGAAAATGTAGCGACTAAGCATGGACTTGGTTCTACCTGGAGAATCCAGTGCGAGAATGAAAGCTGTCCGTCGCACAAGACAAATTCTGTTCTTAATTCTTCCGAGAAGAGCAGAGCGTTTGAAATGAACCGGGCCTCAGTTCTTGGCCTTCGA